ATCCCTGGATAACTTTGATAAATTGATTTTTCTCTTCTTTTGACGTACCATGACTCGCTCTTCTTGCGGGAAATTGGCCTCCGAGAAATTCTTGAATGTCATCCCGATTGAAAGATTTGAGAGTCTGTTCACAGGCGTGGGGTCAGCACAGCTGATTCTCAGCTTATCTTAGGGGAGCGATGGAATCCGGACGTACCGAAGAGAAGGCCCGCTTACGGTCTCTCATGCGAGCAATGTTATCCTCATCGCCATAGTAGACGTCGGGATCGGAGAATGGATCGAGAGACGTGTTGCGTCGATGCTGAGCACTTGGCGAGCTCATCGTCGGAAGATTGTGGGATGGTAGATAGAAGAGACGTTCGATGACAGGCCCGACAAACGAAAGGCTAGAGCGAAAACGGGGGATCCGAGCAGGGGTGGATGGATGGTTGAGTTAAGGGGTGACACTGCGACGCCAATTATTGAAGACGCTAGGCCCGTTCGTGGCGCTGTAACTCTTCTTGGACTCGAGACGGTACCCAAGAAAAAAAAATAGAGGTTATGCTCTTCGTACCTCAGACAATCTCGCTAAAGCTGGGTAGGATGGTAGGACAAACAGTAGGGTATTGGGTGAGTAAGAAGATTGAGAGACAATGCAAGTACACGACAAAGGGAGTTTTTTGTGTAAGATGGATTGGCCACCAGCGGCGGTTCAGCTCCCGTGCGATTTGGGGGGGTACGTCACAACACCCGGTCTTCGGTTTGGCTGGTTCCTTTGAAGGTTTTTGTTTGTGTGCAATTCGGCGGTGTGTAACTCTCAATATATACTGGTTGAGATCGAAAACTTAGGAAGAAAAAAAAAGGAGAAGTAGTCTCAGACTGTTGAATTTGTACTCTTCGCTAACAGGGGGAATTTCGGTTATCTATTATGATTATAATTGTTATTTCTTGCCCGGATTGAGCGGCAGCACCCAACAGCATCCCATCGATGTAGAGAATGAAGTTCCCTTGGAGACTATGACGCCACGGGCCCGATGATGTCGCCGCTCCACTCAATAATTCCCCCCCTTCGGTATTTCCCCCGGCTGCCTCCGCCCTACTTGTGCTGCATTGAATGGACTCTGGAGATAAGTTGTTGGACAATTCAGGCCAAAAAAAAAGAATTAAAAGAAAATGTGAAGAAAAAGGAGTAATCCAGAAAAAAAAGCAATTACTGCCAGATAACGAGTGGTCACGAGGACCAAACCAATAAAGCAAAAAAATGAAGGAGGTCTGTGGGTCTCCGCGGCATCTGTTGGTCGAGCTCTTGACGTGGCACTCGATAGATATATCTCTAGTATGGAGCACGCAGCAACAATGAAAGTGGGATGATCTTTCAGTCTACGTACATTCTAGATCTTCTTCGGTGTGGGACAGCCTGTACACACCCAAGACTCATTAACCTTTCACCTCCCCCGGCAAAGCAAGAAAGCCTGAAGAGAGTCGCCCAAACCCAAAAGACAAAGTTTTCCTGCTATCTGGTATGGGCTTTCTTCATCTTCATGTATCTGCTGTCCGTCGGATCCATACTGCGAATGCGTGGCAGGGAGATACTTGGTCGAGGTTCAACTTTATCATCCTCTACAAGGCGGTTGTTGGGGATGAGGATCGCGCGGTCGAGCTGATATGGCAGTCCCCGGTGCCGTCCACGAATCATCATGGCACAGATGACTATCTTACTGAAGATATCGAATTGAGCGCTGAAGGAGGTGGAGGCGGTCGGGTATCCTAGACTTAGGCCGACGTTTCCGCTGTGCATACGTTAGGTACATCTACGCGCAGTAACCATGGCGTGGCTATACTCACTAGGCTGAGACGACTTCGAAAAATATCGCGAACACGGAGAATGCCTGTTGTTCAGGTCAGAGCGATGCTTCCCACAGTAAAGGAGGGTCACAAACCGGCTTCGTGGTGTCCATTATTTTCCCGGACTCTGCAATGCAGATGCACATGATTCCAAGGAAAATGTACCACAAATCGAAGCTGAGTTGGTTTCGCATGTGCATCAAGACGTATCTCTTGCCATCACCTTCGTCCATATCGGTTTCTGATGAGAATACCCCGATTGATTTCTCTTCATAGATGTTGGAGGCTCGTACACTGATAGCGATAGGGAACACCGAAATGTACATCATGACGAGTAAGCTGAATTGGACTGCCGGGTTCACGTCGGCAAGATTGAACGATGCTGTCCCTGTGTGCCGTGAAGATGCTGACTGAAAGATAGCTGCCGCTACACGAGGTCCGCCGGGTAGATCATTCACCGCAGGGTTGTCGAGATCAAGAACCAGGATCAAGAGAACATCAACAAAATTCAACACAAAAATTATCCCGAAAAGGATCCATGTTGGCTTGCTGCGGAAGAGGAGCAAGTAGCAGCGACGAGGGTACTTCAACAAGAACTCCAGGGGTTCCTTAAGAGAAGAGCTCTCAGGGATACACTTGGACATGCCCCAGATGAGAAGACGGAGGCAGTAAGGATATAAAGTGTTTCCAGCGTAAGCGAGAAAACTCATGATCAGCATAGGGAACACGGCATCATTGAATGATATCATGGAATCTGGAGTAAGTGTAAATCCCAGGTTGCTAGTCATCGTCTGAGCCGAATAAATCGCCCTATTAATATTAGAATATACAGACTGCCTGTAAGATGCATATATACCAGGACTTACCACCAGACTTCATTTTGACCACATTCGTCGAGGTAGTCCCTATACTTGCGATTCGAATGCAAGATCCAAGGGACAAGACACACCACACCAATCACATGAAGCCCAACAAAATAACCTTTTGATGACAGATGAGCCTGCTGAACGCAGAAGAGGGAACGAAACTGTATATACGCACCGATCACAATTTTGAGGAGTAGCTTCAGGCTCCGGTACTCGATGCCACCAAGTCGCTCTCGGTCTGCAGCGGTCAGGTTGTGGAATTGCGAGTTCCTTCCAAGTGTTGCTTGTATGGAGAGCTCCGGCAGGTTTGCGTCTTTGGAGAGAGATATGGCCGGCCGCAGAGATGGCTCTCGGGCTCTGCTAGGTTGTTTTCCGATCACGAACAGAGACGATGCTACCCGCTCGAATGGTAAGCCACCGGTAGCGCTTCTACCATTCTCAGACAGGTCATCCGTGTTTTCAGAGTTTCTCCGCTCAGTTGCGGCGTCCTCATCTTCCTCTTCGATGACTACCCGGTGTCAGACTGAGTGATTGCGACAGAGCTTGTAGTTAGGCTTACCGTCCTCTCCCGGTCCTCGTTGGACTTCTGCTATCGGCACCCCTATTTCCTATAAGCTATTGCCTGGCCGTCAACGCGCCATGAAATCAAGGTACCTCTGTCACGCTCCTGCGGTGAAGGGATGTAGAGCGCCTTGGTAGTGTCGGCAAAGGAGATACTTCGCGATAAACCAACAGTAGGTGGATCTGAGCTGTCGTTTTCAGGTCGTACTCTTCCAGTGCTTCTAGGCCTATATGACGATTAGAAATACAACTCACAGTCACTTCAAGTTTCGGGCCACATTCTCACCTTTCTGGTACCACATGACCCATTTTCGAGCCAACAAAGCGCTGGCCATCATCGACTTCCTTCTCTGTTGAATCACCTGGTACGTTTTCTGACGTAGTAGGCTCACTCTGCCCCCGAGGATGCGCTTCAGGGTCATAGCGAGCGGAATCATAGTTCGATGGGTTACTCTTTCGATCAAGGACACCAGGTGCTGTTGAAGTTCATCGCATCAGCGAGAGTGAACATCGCGCAATTTAGCACTAGCTCGTTATAGTACTTACCAATTTCTTTGAGGCGTTTCTCGAACCATAGCAAGCGGACAACCACCACCAGAATATTGATAAACCCGAGGTTCGAGACGATTGGGACAAAGTAGACGAAGAGCTGCTGATAGAGCTTCAAGTCCTTAACGTCGACTCTAAAAATAATATCCACGTCAGACTTTTCTCCTATGAGCCGAAAGTCAATAGCACGAATAAAGAAACGATCGACTAACGTGTTCAGCCCTGACTCGGTCGAAGAGCTTACACCGAAGAAGTATGCATCGATGGCGCGGAGATTGCCGTAGGGGTAAAGAACGACCAATCCCAAAAGACCCAGGAAAAGAATATATGCATCTGTCCCAGTAGATGAGCTATTTGTGCCACCAATATCGCAATGATAGTCAACGCACAATGTAGAGTGATAAAATTAGCCTGCAGCTTCCACATACTGCGTCGCGGCAGGTATGCTCATAGATCGGGAACAAAACGATTCCGGCGCGGTAAGGGATAAGCCAATCACGAATACCAGCATGCGATGACTGAAGAGACGAAACTAGAAAAGATTAGTCTACCCAAATTCGACAGCAGTTTCTGACTCTTTACCGGGACTAGGATCTTGGGAGAGCCCGCTGTGAGATCTTTATTCTGTGCCAATAGAGCCCCGCGCTGGTAGAATGAGCGATTTGTCCGGACCAATACCGTTCCAGTAAATCACGACCCCACGCGATCGGTCACCAGAGCTTAGATGGAGGCTGTATAGATGCACCTTTGCGATATAGGAGGGAATTTTCTTAGCCAACGGTTCTAGTGCACACTAGAAAAGGTGGCTGACGGCGAGCGAAGATCGCCGCAGCAACCTTCGGCGTGGAAAATGTAGAACACCAGGTTGCTTTTTCGAAGTGCGCTGACTGGAGTAGACGATCACCGGAGATGATATTGAGATTGTCAGAAGGCAAGGCAGGCAAACGCCAACCATTTGCAATACTAGTGGAAGGTTTGTTGAGGGAGTGAATCCCTTCAGCCATGTTCCTCCCAATGATGAGAGTTAACCGCTCAGCATGACATCCTCCTTTGTCTTATGCCAACCATGGGATGATGTCAAGCTCGTTGTTCAGCCTCCAGTCGTATTGCCTTCTTCATGGTAGGGGAGACACACGATGGGTGGCTTGGACTAAGTTTGGAACATTATAATTTGCATGACTTGGGCACGGACTGCCAGGTCTACCACGGATCAAAAAGTTTAAAAGAAACAATCCATTAGTTGGGTTGGACCTTCTGTATGTAGGCTTAGATCAACTCTGCATTGCATACGCATACATGGATTACCCCGAATATCCACTCCTTCTTGCTTACAGCTTACAGTTCAGAGCTTCGCTGCGATTACGCTACCGCCGTCCAGAGTGATAGTCGCTCCATTCACATACGAGCCGGCGCGGCTGCTCAAGAACAAGCACGCACCTGCAACATCCTGGGGGGTACCAATGCGACCCAAAGGAATACTTCCCTCGATTGCCTCCCGATGTGCTTCCAATGTGGCAGCCATCATCTTGCTCTCGAATGGGCCACAGGCCAAAGAGTTTGATCTGCGGGTAGTGCCGGGTCAGCCCAAGCGCCGTTGATAAGCGATCATATGGGAGTTACACATACGTGATGTTCCGTCTTCCAAGGTGGTGTGCCAAGACACGACTCAAATGGTGCAAGCCAGCTTTACTCGCACTGTAGGCAAAGGTTTCCAGAGCCGGAACCCTTATGCCGTCAACGCTACCGATGTTGATAATGCGAGCCGGGTCGCCAGATGAGCCGGCTCTCTCCAGTAGAGGTGTGAGAAGCTTGGTAAGGTCGAACACACGATGAAGATTGAGGGTGAGAACTCGTGTCCATGCGGAAGAAGGGTATTCATCATACGGGGCACCCCAGTTGGAACCCGAATTGTTGACAAGAACGTGCAGCTCTGGGAATGTGTTAAGCTAGAGCACTTGGCACTCCCTCTCCCCTAAGGAGCAGCACTCTAGGGGCTAGACTTACTACTCTCACGCTTAGCAATCTCTTCAGCCAATCTCTTGACTTCCTCTTCTTTATAGAAATCGGCAGGGATAGCATAGGCCTTGCCCGTGCCAAGTGCATTGAGCTCGTTTACAGCTTTATCGCAAGACTTGGCGTCTCGCGACGAGATATAGACAGTGGCGCCATTCTTTACGAAGCCTTCTGAGATCATCCGACCGATTCCTTTGGCGCCACCAGTGACGAGCACGACTTTGCCCTAATCGCATGGTTAGATCTCCAGCTAAGCTGTACAGGCCGGGGCCTCTACTCTGCATCTCCGCAGTACGCACCTTGACGTTGAACAACTGCTGAACGTCCATGATGATGGTTTATGTGGTAATATCGTACTTGAAAGCCAGAGGAAATCGAAGAAGTCAGTTTAATTAATGGATGACCGATTGCAAATAACCCGGTCAGCCGCACGTGTGAGGTCTGGACAGAGACGCTGATCTACCCCTTATAGATATTACCTTTACCGCCTGGAGGTCCGCCTGGGGATAATGGGGATACCCGAACAACCGGGGATCACTCTACAGTGTCACAAAAGATACCGAGGCTGGGCGGAACGGAAGAACAATGTTGCAGTGCTTCTGAAGTGATTAGTAGTGGCTTGCATGACATGTCGGTGGCAATGGCCAGCAGGAGTTCAATCAGTACAGAGTATACAGTAATCATCAAGCTGGTAGAGGCACATGAGGCAGCTCTTATCATTGCCGGTATCTTATCTCCTCTCGACGGTCGTTCGATGTAGCCGAACAGCGACCAGGGGACCTGCTGCCTTAGGCACCAACATCAAGGGCCGATCGGGTGATCCAGAAAAAGTCACGACAGGCTTTGGCGGGGCTGAGCTTCATCCCACTCGTGCATGTCCAGCATTGAACTTCCTCCTCTGTCACGATACCCTGATTTGTATTTTTGCATAGCTCCTCTTCGCGTTCATTCAACGTCTTGATTCTCGACAATTTGCTTAGAGTCATTCATAGAGTTTCAGTTGGACCAGCACATCCCCCGTTTCCCAGGATGGAGGAGCTACAAGCTAAACACCGCAAGGAACAAAAAGATCTCCAGGCTCGAATCACTCAGAAGAAGAAGTCCGCCACGAAGAAGACTCGCAAAGGAGTTAACGATGATTGCGAAAGGCTACAAAGAGAGCTCTCCGAGCGGCAACAAGCTGAGATCGCGCAACTAAACGGCGAATCAGACCAGCCCGTGGATGGCATCGAAGACCTCAGTCTGAACGAATCCAGCGAAGGGGACCGAAACGCTGATGAGGCTGGCGATTCGCCCGATCAGCAAAATGCAGATACCCCGTCGGAGACAACAACATCGTCCCCTCAAAGCTCTACCCCCATTACCCCGCAGCCCTCCGGTCCTCGTCCCAAGAAGCCCAATCGCCAGAAGGCCCGTTTAGCACGTCGTGCCGCGGAACAAGCAGCGCAATCGGCAATTGCTGCGGAGGAGGCCGCAAACCAGACCGATCATCGTGGAAATGAGAAGGAGGTCATGGAGGGCGTGTTCAAGCGCTTACAGTTGAAGGAGGTTGACATAAACCCGGATGGACACTGTCTATTCTCTGCCATCGCATGCCAATTGGACGAGCAAGGCATCGGTCTGAAACCTGACCCGAAGAGGATGATCCTTCAGCCTCCGACTCAGTCTCGCATTGATACCGTGGCTTCGCCTAAGCATGACGGGTATCGGGCGGTTAGAGCTGTGGCGGCAGATTTCATCAGCGACCACCAGGACGACTTTGCACCATTCATGGAGGAGCCTTTGGACCAATATACCAGGAAAGTGAAATTGACAGCCGAATGGGGCGGACAACTTGAATTGCAAGCGATCGCCAGGGCATATGGTGTCGAGATCAATGTCATTCAAGGAGATGGGAGAATCGAAAAGATCGAACCGGGCGATGTCGAAGAGCCAGGCGACGAAGAGGGAAGCAAGCGGGTCATCTGGTTGGCTTACTACAGACACACATACGGACTCGGGGAGCATTACAACGCACTCTCCAAACATACATAGAGAAGCGTATAAAACAAAAAAACGTCAATCAAAGATTAGGCTATTGACCAATCAAGGCAGTGACTCCCATCCCGGCGATACTTCATCTACCGCGGATATGGCCTTACCGGCGGCGCCAGATCGATACTCGGTCTTGAACCTCCCCATTGGCATCCTTGCCCACCTCATGTGTTCGGGCAGGCTGCCAATAAGCCACTCGTTCCAGTCCTCGCTCGCTTGGCTCACGGAGGGGGTCTCCCCTGCATCGACCCTGGGCGTCATAAGAGACCTGCTCTCCCGGGTGACTAAGATGCTCCATGTAAGCCTCCGAGGAGAGACCAAACGGAGGGCCCGGGAGCGTTGGGTCCTTGTGCCTTGGGTATTCCAAGCAGATCAAGTTCCCATGTGGCGAAGGGGCTAATAGCTGAGTATGCCGGAGCGCCCAGTCAGGTCGCATGGACGGGCTCAACGCGCAGAAGAACTACGCTCAAGATCAGTAATTGTTCATCTAGAGAACCACCCGTAGACCGTCGCCTCTTCTAGCGTCTAGCGACATCATAAAACTCACCGTATAATCATATATCAAATCAAAGGAATTCAACCCCAGTCCCAACCCCTCCAACCAATCATCCTTGAAGAAATCTCCCTGCACGAACACCACCTTTCCCCTACCAACCTCCTCATCTCTAACGGGATACTTAGCACTAGTAGTACTCTCCTTCTCCTCCCGCCTAGAAGCCTCAACCGCCGCAGCACTATACTCCAACCCATACGCATCGTACCCGAAACTCGCCAGCAGAAGCACATCCACCCCCCTCCCACAGCCCGGGACTAGCGCTTTCTTGCGGTACTTCTTCCCCTGCGCGTCCGTGGCGATGGCATTGCCAATTGTACCTTGACGCTGCGTCAGGGTATCTTCTAATGCTGGATTCGGGGCGCCTTTGTCCCAGGGAGGAGTGGGGTTCGCGTTCCAGACCTCGGCCCAGCCGTCGACGTATTTCTCGCCGGGGTATTTGGCGAGCGTGTTGTGGACGGATTGTTGGGCTGCTGTGAGGGTGGGCCGGTCGGTCATGGTGGATTGATGATGGGTGTTAGGTATGTAGATAGATAGGTATTGGTAGGTACTTTGGATGTACGGGGTAAGTAGGTGGTGAATTATGTTGTCATTCTGGGTTGGGTTCGTATTCTGGAACTGTCTATGAGGTTGGCTCTGGCTCGGACGTGGGGCAAGTGACTGAGCCGGCGGGTCGTGCTGGAGTGTATCCACTGGGCTGGAGGGAGGGTTTTGTCGTCCATAGATAGCTGTTGCCTGGAGATAGACTTGGATGTTGCAGATGTACTGTCAATATGGATAGCTACGTTCATTGTACTGTTCAGACTGCTTGAGTGACATCGTTGCTGCTTGGGGGTTTCCCGAATGAGGGGATTTTCCTAGATCTCATAGTAATACCCTTTGACATGCCTAGTTTGTCATCAGGGAGGACGGTCCATAGAGCGATAGTCGGAGCAACGTGGATCTGAATGAAGCAATCGATATCTGACTGTAAGAGAGAACATGGCGAAAGTATTGCGCTGAAATAGTGTCACGGGTGCTTTTCTTCTCCCCGACATGACGATCAATACCATATAGAGGACCCCGAGAGCCCTTATCAACGAGCAATTTAGCTCGATCACATCATTGATGTCAATTATCGTTTACTTGCGGTTATACTCTCGAGCCTCAAAGAGTGAGCTCCTGTGATATCATGTACCATGTGCATTCGGAGGTTTATACTGTTTCCCTTCCTGTTCCTCATACTGTGAGTCCCCACTACCGAGCGGGACACCTAACGTCCGGCTATCTAGCGAGGCTTGACCTCGGCAAAGCACCAATTAGTGCCAAATCAGGGGCGGAAATGACCGCCATCGGATGGGACGGCACCAGTTGGTTGGTCTCTGAATGGCTGGCCCTGAATTTGGCTTTGCCCCCTAGAGTATGGAGGGAGGGTTAGATGCTGCTTGATTCATAGGTTTAGCACACTGACCGAGTACCTGGTCAGTAATTATGGAGTAAACTACACAAATGTCAGATAGTATTTGGCAACCAAAAGGGTTTGACTGCGGTATGCATACTGGCGCCTTGCGTGTGTAGCGGTGTACTACATGCTGCTTGTCAATTTCAGCTAGATGGCGTTATTCTCTGGGTTCTCGAGATGTTGATTCTCGGCCAGAGATACGTTTGTATAATTTAAGAAGGTGTAGTGTAGAGATAAGGAACTGGGAAATTGAGCCTGCAGCCCGTGCAGGATCTATATCCTTTGTAAGCAGAATCGATCTATCAAGGAATCCTGGTTTGTTGAGATCCAATGGCAGGTGCAACCAGAGCAAGTGGGGAAGGCACATACAGTTTCCTGCCCGATTAGGACGAACCAACCCCGGCTGATACAAACTAACTCATGAGCAAAGACGCACCCCAGTCTTCCTCCTCTTCTTTCTTACTCCAAACTTGATCTTTTCCAACTGTATTATCTGGCCGACCAGCTCGTCATACACACTCTCTCACCACTATTCACTTCTATACTTACGACTTATTGACAGTCTATGATGATACGCAACTCTTATACCTCGTCTTAACAGTTTGTCACTGGCCCCGCCGGCAAGGCCAGTTAGCGGATGCTACTTTCATTTTATCACATGCATGATATTCTATTCTGTCCCGACCTCTTAGTGTGTCCCTTGTGAAGCGAGCCTATCGTGCTGCTTGGACTGTTAGCCTCTCATATGGAAAGGCAGTACGGAAAGGAAGATGGCGACAGCAACAAATGGCATTCCTGATGCCGAATTGGTGCAAATTTCCCCAGCTGGTCATACTCACCCGGAAGCAATACGATCTAATGATGAGATGATCGACGAGAAGCGCGACCCTGACTCCATATCTCAAGGCTCTGACGACACTCCTGTGATAGAAGGCAAAGACGAGGAATCACATGTCCGCACTACCTTTTCAGATGGAGAGAAAGAGGGTCCGATAGTGGTACCTAGTTTGAAACGAAGGGGACTTTTTGGTCAGCTCTCGTTACTGGCTGAGGTTGAGAACCCCAAGGTATATCCGCGGAAGACGAAATGGTTTATCACATTCGTGGTAGCAGTGGCAGGAGCTGCAGCTCCAATGGGTAGCTCAATATTCTTTCGTAAGTCGTCCATTTCTCCAGTCGTGGCCCGATTTGGTCGTGTACTTACGTGACTGCTAGCCTCCCTTTCCCAAGTATCAAAGGAATTGGGGACCTCAACAACCATAACCAATTTATCAATCTCCCTATACATGCTTAGTATGTCGATCTTCCCACTGTGGTGGTCATCTTTCAGTGAAAGATTGGGACGACGAACGATATACCTCGTTTCCTTCAGCCTCTTCGTCGTTTTCAACTCTCTCTGCGCCATATCTAGTTCAATAGCTATGCTTATTGTACTGCGAATGTTGAGTGGTGGTGCATCTGCATCAGTTCAGGCTGTTGGTGCAGGAACCATTGCGGACCTTTGGGACCCCCAAGAAAGGGGACGTGCTATGAATATCTTCTATCTAGGTCCGCTATGTGGACCTCTGATAGCCCCGATTGTAGGAGGTGCTCTAGCTGAACGCTGGGGGTGGCGAAGTACGCTTTGGTTTCTGGCCGCCTATGGAGGGCTCACCGTGGTTTTTATCTTTTTCGCCCTTCCAGAAACACTGGCAAACACGAAACTCCAGACACAGGAGGCGAATATCGAGCACGAGGAACCTATTAGGCGTCAAGTGAGTCGAGTATCCTCTCGACAGGTCGTTCAGTTCACCACTAGGTGGTTGAAGTTCCTCAAGATGGTGATTCTCGACCCTTTGAAGATCATTCTTTACCTGCGCTATCCTCCCGTTCTACTTACTGTATACTACGCAAGTATCACTTTTGGATCTCTTTATGTGCTAAACGTCAGTGTTGAGCATACATTCAGCGCTAGCCCATATAACTTCAGCACAATCATCGTTGGCCTACTTTATATACCCAACTCGCTCGGATATGTTGTTGCCAGCACCTTTGGAGGCCGTTGGATGGATAGCATTATGCAACGGGAGGCAAAGAAAGCCAAACGATACGACGAACATGGAAACTTGATTTATCGTCCAGAAGACCGGATGCGTGAGAATGCCTGGCTTGGCGCTATGCTCTACCCTGCTGGACTGATTTGGTATGGATGGTGCGCGGATCGAGGCGTGTTCTGGCTAGCACCGGTATGTTCTTTGATGTCTGACAGAAGAGTTTCACACATCTGCCATGCTTGTCACCTCTGCTTCATGCACTTTATGACATCCTACTGACAAGTTTGTGTAGATGATTGCCAATTTCTTCTTCGGCGTTGGATCGATGCTCATTTTCGGCATGGCAACGACCATGCTGACAGAGTTCATGCCCAAGAAATCCTCTGCAGGTGTCGCACTGAACAACTTCATGCGAAATATCTTCTCCTGCGTGGGCTCAGTAGTCACCGCCCCAATCATCGATGCCATTGGCAATGGATGGCTGTTCACCATCCTTGGACTGGTTGCGTTTGCAAGCAGCTCCGTCCTCTTCGTGATGAAAGTTTACGGGCCTCGATGGAGGAAATCGATGGATGCTCTGAGAACATGACGTCCTTTATGACCAGTCATGGTCATTGGTACGCTGTGTTGGGTGCCAAACGCTGATACTTGGGTCTAGATTCTGTTGGTAAGTGTCATGTCTTGTCATGATCATACTAGACGGTTGCATAAAGCATTTCCTTGGCTTTCTGTCTCGGGGTATTTGCCGGGTTTCTTTTTTTTTTTCTCGAAGGGTCACGCCTGGTGGTACTAGGAGTCAAGTCCGCGTCGATATGACAGGTGGAAGTGGTCTCGAATTCGCCAGAGAACGTTTACGTCTTGAGGATACCCAAAAGCATGATGGTTTATTTTTAGACTTGATGAAGCCCAAGTGAGGCCAGATGCCTCCTGCTAGGCTGTGGCGAACGACAGCTATCGCCTGGATTAACGATAATAGAGCGAGGTCGAGATCAATAGAATAGCCAAGTCAATAATTAATTGGATGAACTTGGGGTAGTGTCAATTCCAACACTCTGCATTGTTTCATAATAGGTTCCAGTGTCAATGTCACTACCAACAGTGGTTACGCAAGCATCCGCAGACCAAGGCAAGTGTAGCTGATTCTGATAGCTCTCGCGCTTCTAGTAAGCGTATTCTAGCACCTTACTCGGTGATTGGCAGCCAGAACTTTGACAGCACAGGCTGACCAGGTAAGCGCTCAAGCACAAAGTACGCGTATAGTTTAGACGGCAACTTCACCTGACGGGGCCACAGGTGGGGGGATTTGCGAATAGAATGGACCAGCAATTCGCACCGCCGGGACGAAGCGGAAACATGCATAAGCGGTAACACCAGATGGATGGATTAAACATTAAGGCTATGGGCCAGGGATGGTGGTGAAATCCAGCGGGGAGGCAGCCATATCCGGCCCGTTGCATGTTCCAGCGTGGGATGACACCGAAAGTATCGACTAGGGTTTCGGTGGTGGTCAGCAAATGGATTGCCGGAGACAAAAAGAAAGCACCCCATGATGGCGAATTTGTTCAACTTGCATAGAGAGAGAATGTCATTCTGTCGGACCTGGCATCTGCTATTGTGTGACCATCAATTCTTTTGGGCGCCTGTTCGCTACGTGTAGATAGTAATCTATACTGGGTACCTTACTATACGTACTTAGGTCAGATCTGCGGGCGATCTCGACCTGAACCTGACAGATTCATGCTGTGCTGGCAATAGAAAGATCTAATGAAATAAATGACACGCACATAACGATCTCGGGTATCTGGCTGAGTATCTGAGATGATGAGTTAAGGCAGTTGCGATGGCAATAGATAGATTGGGAGGGGGGAAGGGGGGTGTTGACGTGGAAGGTGTTTGTGCCAGAGGGAGAAGGCATCGGTGCTGGCTGATTGGGATGATTGGGATGATTGGGAATTGGGGTTTGTATAGACCCGAGCGGGGGAGCCCATCAAAACACAACACTGTCTGCGCGAGCTGCAATGCTGGGCAGCTTGCCTGATGGGCAGGTAGCCAAGGGAGAAATGGAGGGTCTCGGAGGAATGGGGTTAGTTAGCATTACGATTTAGTGTGCTCCATAGCTTGCAGCCATTTCCATTCATCTCATCACTAATGACGCCTCCTTCAACGGGCCTGGATGGGGGGCGTGCACTGGTAGCCACTCACCGGCTGCCAGAACAGCAATGCGCCTCACTTATCGGTGGATGCGACAAGTCCGGCTTCTTTTCTCGCCCACCGCCCATGATCTGGGCCTTCCTCGGAATTATTGAATCAATCTCTCGATTATTACTCGGAAGCAATTGCGATGCGGATTTGGGATGACAGATCTTTCCCATCGTGGATCGGGAAAATGTCATCGGGATTGGAGACACGATGGACGATTTCATTTTTGCCTCCCTTCTTCATGGTGCCTGAGAGGAATTGACCTCTTGTTGAATGAAATCATGAATAATCAAGGCACTTTGAAATGATTCAAACTGAAACCCGATCGAAAGAAATTCCCACTATTCCTGGTTGGGTGGTCCAGTGATCTGCGGCTGCTGAATTGTCCGGTGGAGTTTCGAATCCGGCTTCACTTTCCCTCCTCCCCTATCTCTTTTCCTTTCCTCACCATTCCGCCAGGCGTTTGTTTTTCCATTGACCCTTCTGGCTTGCTTCGTTTTTGCTTCGATGGTTCTTCATCAGTACCAGAAGTACGACTTGACCAGGTTTCTGGAGATCTTCATCGCCCCCCTCTCGCGACCAGCTTTCCCTCACTACCCCCCTGTCATCTCGGTGATGGGGAGTGATGCTGTTGTCGATGATTGATCGCCTTTACCCACCGAACGGTGCACAGTCACAACAGTAATCCTTACCCATGTTCATACCATTCGCACCCTAGTTACACCCAACCACCCCTAGCTTTTTCGTCCCTAACCAGGGACCCAGTCTCGCTACTCACGGACCATGCGTCTAATTTACTACTATTGCTGCAACAGCCGTTGGGCATGAATGATTATGATACTGGTGCTCCGGCTATGTTGATGAGGTACACTCGACAGGTCGGAGTAACCATGGGCAGCGCCCTTTACACTTTCGATGGCTTTTTTTTTTCTCGCCTTTCATTGTCCCGGATGCCGGCATGATTGGCTGTTTTAGAATGCTCACTCATTGGGCCTAAGATCAATCATTTGACCTTGCATGCTCAAGGCGCAGGTCTCTATCGACCCTCCGATTGCTTTTTCCTCTCCCACTGGGTTTACGATCCCGTACAAAGTACTTGCAGGGCATTGGCTAACAACGATACTTTTGAACTATCTATGCAATACTTCTGCCCACAAGAGGCCAAATAAACAAAAAGAATTGACACCAGACGGGAAAAAAAAATTAAATTACGAAAGCACTTCTGATGGAGCTGTGGCACCACCCCCACCACACTAATGACACACCCTACGGAGCACCCAATTCCCTGTGGTGTTGCTATCCTATCTGGACCACAATTGTCCATCCACTCCCCGCCGCCACCTGCTTGCTAGTTGCGACTGCATGCTTCTGCTGCAGATGGTGCTCCGCCGGTTATCCCCTTGCCCCAGTGATGCTTCCGGAAGAGGACCCTCTTTCTATGTCCGTCCGGGAGGGCCATGGGGCCCGTGAGACGTGGCCCAATGATACGAGATGCCGTCGGGCAGTTCGTTCATGACGTCCCCAGCCCCAAGCCCGAGCCATTCCAGGACAGTGACCCATTGCACTGGATAGCGAAGGCACTACTATACGTCGCCTCGTCTTCGTCCTCGAAAAGGAACCACAATGTTGTTGGCGGACCATCGGGCCTATGCCCTTTTTGCCCTTTGCGCTTCCAACCTCTCATACCCCAGCGTTTGCTTAACCCAGCAATTACACAGCACCCCTCGTTTCGCGTTCCTTTTTCTTGCGTTGCCCCTATTTTTGGGTTTTCTTCATTCGCCTTCCCCCCTGTCTTCTGCGCCTTGTCTAGACATTCGACAGGCATATGTCATATTTCCTTCAATAGATTTATATCCGCTTGTCATTCCCGTTCCACAAAGAGGTCATCAGAGACCCAAGAAACGCCACTGATCCGATGCCATGGGTAAAAAAGGAAACAACAAGAAAAAGAAGAGCAACAACAATAATAATAAGCAAAGGCTCCCCGTAAACGACAATCAACTGTCCAAAGAGCAAACCCCCTCTCCCGATCCCACCCCAGAGGCACCGGTTGATGTCGGAGAAAATGGAGCAACGCCCGGTCCAGTATGCACAACTTCCCAAGTTTGAGTACCAGACTTTCGAGCGTCACTATCAGACCTTCGACCGTCAAACTTTTAGCTTTTCATATTACCCTGTCAATACTGCATCTACGGATCATCTGACGCCGCCTAAGGATCAGGACAATAACAACAACCCCGTCGAACCAGATAATGCCCCGGCCGCCGAGACTACCCCTACAGAAGGATCCGATAGTGCCCCTGCTGATGGCTCAACGTCTCCCGAGTCTGAAGGTATGTTGTACCTGCCTTTTGATAATACATTCTGGCCTGAAACAGTTGTTATCATGTCACCTCACGTGACTGTTATCATCCTTTGCTTCCTTGTACTAAGCTTCATCAGGTGCCACCGAAGCAACAACGCCGCCGCCAGAGGCTGAAGAGACCTCCAACGATACGACTACTGAACCAAAAGAGGAAGGCGAGAATCCCGCTCCAGAAGCAGACGAGTCCACCCCACCACCGGAAGATAGTCCTCCCAGTGATCAACCTGTTGAGGATGCACCAAAGGACATAGAACCGGAACCAGTCGAAGCAGACGCTGCACCGGCGGATATAGATGATACACCGCCCGAGGAGAACACTGAAGCCCCCAGCAATGGTATGCCTGATGGTCATCTCAGTTCCCAAAGTCAGCTGACCTTACACATAGAGGATGACTTCATAGAAGGTGATCCTACTGCAGAACATGATAATGCCGAAGCCGAAAAAGAAGAAGCCGAACAACAAGCGGCTGAAGACGCCAAGCCCGAGGATGAATCGTCGACGGAACCAACGACGGCCGACTTGATCGACGTTGGTAAGGACGGGGAGAACGCAACAGAACAACCACCGGCAGAGAGTCAAGAGGGCGAGGCTGAGCCCCCTAGCAACGACGAGGGCCCCGAAGCCGACAGCGGCGATGCATCGCCCGAAGAACCGGCTGCAGAAGCGGAGACTCAAGAACATGAGGCTGAAGCACAACCTGAGCCTGCGCCAGAATCTACGGAAACCCCTGTCGCTCCAGAAGGACAGGAGGATCAACCTCCAGAGGAACAACCTAGTCCCGACACCACAGAAACTGCGGATGAAGCACCAGCAGACGAGGGTACTCCAGAGTCGACAGAAGATTTAGCGGCGGACAATGCCAACGTTGAACCCGAAGCAGAACCAGCAAATGCAACTGAAGAGGCACCGGAAGAACCGGCCGCTGCCCCCGAAGAGTCACCTGAAGAGGCCGCACAGCCTGAAACAACCGATGAGGCAGCAGCAGAAGTTGACTCCGGCGAAGCACCCGCCGAAGAGTCTACCGAATCACCTGTCGCTGAAGAAGATTCTGCTGAGCCACCTGCAGAGACACCCACCGAGACACCTGCTGAGGAAGCCGCTGTTGCGGAAGAGCCCGCCGAAGAGAGTATTGCAGAAGAACCTCCGGCTGAAGAGCCCACCGCGGATGACACAGCAGATGTACCGGCCGAGGAAAATGCAGAAGCAGCGGAACCCGCCTCAGAACCCGCAGCGGAGGAGGCAGCAAGCGAGGAGGTATCTCCTGAGGAAGCCACGACATCGGAGTCAGTTGAAGAGCCTACCGATGAAACTCCAGCGGCAGCGGAGACTACTCCGGAAGCAGCTAGCGAGGATGAACCGGTAGATGCTCAAGAGCCAGCTGACGACAAGCCGACCGAGGAAGTAGTTGCAGAGGAGCCTCCCGCGGAGGCCGCAGGCGAAGAAGCGACTCCGAACGAAGATGCCGAGGGTGCCGCACCGGGATCTGAGGAGCCTCCTGCTGATCTCGCCGAGGATGCGCCAGCAGAAGAGTCAGTTCATGTCGAAGAACCCGAGCAAGTAACAGAAGAAGCGGCCCCTGAAGAGACACCATCGACTGAGGAAGTGCCAGCAGAAGAGGGTGTCGGTGAAGTTCCTGAAGAAGCTCCCGCCGAAGAGCCGGCCACAGAAGCAGTGCCCGAAGAATCCGCTCCTGCAGAAGAACCTATCGCTGAAGAACCTACAGCTGAAGAACCTCCAGCTCCAGATGAGACACCTCCTGAACCTGCGCCTGAGGAGACTGCCCCAGTTGAAGAGTCTGCTCCAGTAGAGGCCGACGCTGAAGAGGAAGTTCCTGCTGAGGAGCCTATCGCCGACGAGCCCGCTGCTTCTGAAGAGCCCGCGATTGAGGAACCTGAAGCTGTTGTTGAACCCGAAGCTGAGGCTACCGTTGAAGAATCAGAACCGGCTGAGGATCCTGCACCTGTCGAAGAAGCTGTCGAGGTGCCCGCCACCGAGGAACCTGTTACCGTTGAAGAGCCAGCCGCCGCTGAGGAACCCGTCGCGGACGAGCCTGTCACTGAAGAGCCCGCTGCCGAAGAGCCTGAACCTATCGAAGAGCCTGCCCCGGTGGAAAAAACTGTCGAGGAGCCCGCCGCCGAGGAGCCCGCACCGGCTGAAGAAGAGCAAATTTCGGCTGAAGAACCTGCTCCCGAGGAGAACACTGCCGCTGAAGAACAACCGCCGGCAGAAGAGTCTTCGTCTGTGGAAGAGGTTTCCGCTGAACGAGCTGTTGACGAACCTGCTCCAGTAGATGAGCCTGCCGCGGAGCAAGAGCCTGAAGTGGAAGAAGCTACCCCTGCTGAAGAACCCGCTGTGGTCGAAGAACCTGCTACAGCGGAAGAGGCTATTCCTGCTGCAGAAGAGCCTGCCCCGGTGGAGGAGCCTGAAGAACCTGCTCCAGCGGAAGAACCTACTCCTGCAGCGGAGGAGCCCGTTGCGGTAGAAGAACCTGCTGCTGTAGAAGAGCCTGCTGCTGTAGAAGAGCCTGCTGCTGCGGAAGAGCCTGCTGCTGCGGAAGAGCCTGCTGCCGTGGAAGAGCCTGCTGCCGCGGAAGAGCCTGCTGCCGTGGAAGAGCCTGCTGCCGCGGAAGAGCCTGCTGCCGTGGAAGAGCCTGCTGCCGTGGAAGAGCCTGCTGCTGTGGAAGTACCCGCAGAAGATCCTGCACCTGCTGACGAACCCGGTTCAGTCGATGGACCAGGACCGGCAGAAGATATAGCTCCCGCTGAAAGAGCCGTTCCTATCGAGCCATCAGAAGTCGCAGCACCCCCACCGGAAGAACAGGGCGAAAGCGAAGGATATGAAGCAGATCCGAGCTCAGAGCCGTCAGAAGAAACCGAGGCTAATGATTCTTCAAGAGGTGAAGTCCTAGCTGGAGCCCTAGCTGGGGCCACAGCCGCCGCTGCCGCCACCGCAGCAGTCCACCGGAAAGATTCACGTAGGAGGCACAGAAAATCGCCCGACGCCGACTATGATCGGAAGGAGTCCAGGAGCTCTTCTGATGGTCATCGATCACAAAGGCCAAAGGGTGAGCGTATTGGCATCGTAGGTCGATGGGCACAAGCTTTACAGGAGTCCAAGAGGATTCACGAAGAGAAGCAGAAGCAAAAGATTCAGGTTGTTGAGAAAGAGCGCCGCTCTTCGGACCGTGGAAGAGAGAGAGAAAAGGACAGGCAGCGGGAGCGTGACCGGGATCGCGACGAGCGGAAACGGGAACGGGAACAAGAGTACGAACGCCAACGTGAGCTCGAGCGTGAGCGCGAACGTGAGCAAAGACGGCAAGAACGCGCGCGCAGACAACAAGAACAAGAGCGTCTGCAACAAGAGCAAGAGCGCCAACAACAAGAGCGTGAGCGCAGACACCGAGAGCGCGAACGCGAGCGCGAGCGCGAACAACGTGAACAACTTGAACGGGAGCGGGAGCGAGAAGGCGCAAAGCGCTCTGAGCGAAGCGCAAGATCGAGGAACTTGGAACAATCCGAACGATCTTTGAGCGGAAAAGAGAGCGCACACACCAGGTCACACCCACGGTCAGATCACTCTGGAAGCCAGGACCGCGAGCGCAAGAGCAGCTCGTCGTCGCGCCACACCCAATCTACAGAACCCAAGCCTCGCTTCTTCCTGAAGTATATGGAGGGTCAGTCAGACACCAATGGCCCACTTCTGAAGATCAACGCTGCCAAGGCCTCCGCTAACGTCTACAAAGATCGTGAGAGAAGGTCATCCTCCCACCAGAGTCAACGTCAGTCGCAAGAAGGCAAGAGCAGCAGTGAGCGCTCCAGTCGACCACGTCCCGAGGACGACGAAGAGGCTCGAGCTCGGCGTGAAGCTCGCAAAGAGCGCAAGAGAATGGAGATGGAGCAGGAAGCAAGGGCAAGGGAGGAACCCGAGCAACGTCGCCATCACCGCAGTAGCGGAGAACATCGCCATCGTCATCACAGACATCGACGCGAGCCGTCTCCTCCACCCAGTGGACCTTCCAAGCTGAAGACTCTCTTGGGTGCGATTGCTGCTCACTGATGGTAGTTTGCATGGGAACCAAATTCATTACCCCTTTAGTAATGCTGTCCTAGGTTCGCTTTCTACCTTTCTCTCTCTGTCAGCTCGATGTATTTATTTATTCTTTGTTTTCTTTTGTCTATTTTTCTTTGCAATTTTTTGCGCAGCAGATTCACAGCATGCATGCATCAGCGGGAATAGCATATGGTTTGGGGTGCTTGTGACCTTTTTATGAAAGCATTTTAGCCTATTTTCGGTTCTATTCTCATGTATCTTACGTTTGATGTATGCTGCCTGCACTTCATGATTATTATGAATGATATGACTAGTTTTCTATATGTGGACTTATATTTTACTTCTAATGTTTTCTTTTCTTCTCCTTTGAAAAGTGCTATTTCTGCGATGAAGCGTATGAAAACTAGCGGGTAATTTCTACTTTTGTTCCTCTCATTTTATGAGATTCTAAGCGCGCTGTGGGGTACCTTTGAATCAAATTTATCTAGGCTGCATTGGCACATTCTAGGATACGTATTGTCTCAGCTCGTAACAATAAGGTTCTGAACCACCGGAGGAGTACTTCACAGGGCTGGAATCGCCATTCCATCACCTCTCAAATCGCTACCAGCGCTGTACACCAGTTTCCCATCATCGTAGTGACAACGAATGATTTGTCCACGGCCGAACATGCCTCTCTTCCATCCAGTCAGAACCTCAACTTGATGGCCCAGCTTCTTCAGGCCCTCAACCGCAGCATCGCTGACACCTTCCTCAACATAGACCGTTCTGTCGATGGGCTTTCCCTCATCGGCGTTCCCAGCGGAGATGCAGATTCGAGGGGAATCGAGCGCAGCTTGGGGGTGGTAGTTGAATGCAAGCATATTGAGGAGGACCTGGACGTGACCTTGGGGTTGCATAAAGCCGCCCATCACACCATATACCGAGTGGAGAGATCCGTCGGAGACGTTGGTGATCAATGCGGGAATAATAGTGTGGTAGGGTCGCTTGCGTGGGGCCAGAACGTTCGGATGCCCGGGGGTCAGTGAAAAGTTGGCACCCCGGTTCTGGAGGGTGAATCCGCATCCCTTGGGTATGATACATGTTCCGAATCCACCGTAGTTGCTGTTGATGAAGGAGATACCGTTTCCTTCTTTGTCTGTCACTGCGAAGTATACCGTGTCACAGTGGTTGTGGGCTGGACTGCCATGATCAAGGATATCGGACGCCTTATCAGGGTTGAAGAGCTTGGCACGCTCCGCGAGGTATTCGCGGGATATAAGTTCCTTGCTTGGGACCTTTTCCACATCGGGATCGGTGACCCACCAGGAGGCGTCGGCAAAAGCGATGCGAAGGCTTTCGATGATTGCGTGTAGATATTCGGCGGAGTTGTGCTGTGCCTCAGTGAACTTTGGGATCTTTCCTGTGCGCTCTAGTTCCTCGAGGATACCCAAGGCCATGAGAGCCACGATACCCTGTCCGTTTGGTGGATGTTCCCATATCTCCACTCCCTGGTTAGCCTCGCCGGTTGTACCGGCGGCCTGCTTCTCGACGATATCCTGACCGGTGAATTTGAGGGAGATAGCTTCTGTTTCCTGACTTCCGGTTTCGGCGTGGAACTTCAGGTCTTCCAGGGTAATATAGCCTCCCAGGTCCTGGACGACTTTGACAAGTTCTTCTGCAACACGTCCTTCGTAGAATCCCTTCTTTCCCTCTGCGGCAAGCGCTCGGAATGTCTGGGCCAGTGTGGGGTTTCTCAGAATTTCTCCGGGGAGAGGGCTCCGAACACCGTTTTCAGCGTTCGGGTCAGCTTTGAGCATCTCATGGTAGTTCGGCGATGCTGCGCGAATCAGATGCTCGCTTTCGTGCCACTGCAGGGAGTCAGTCAGCTTGCTTGTATAAGTCGGATGAAGTGAAGGTGCGCTTACAAAGAAAGATGCCAGCTCCGAGACAGGAAAGCCTTCCTCGCCAAGTTCGATAGCAGGACGCAAGATCTGCTCCAGAGAGAGTTTTCCACTACCAAATTTTTCCACAGTATCAACCCAGCCTGCCGCTGCACCGGGAGTAGACACAGCGAGGACGCTGGTCATTGGTATTTTTCCAGACTCATCTGGGCCGAGGTTCAGATCCTTCCTCACCTTTTCGAGGGTCGCATTGGCAGGATAGCGACCCGAGCCGTTCAATGAATGGACTTTTTTCGTTTTGGCATCATAGAAGAGACAGAACATGTCTCCACCAATGCCTGTGGATGAGGGTTCTGTGATATTCAATGCCGCAGCTAGTAGACACATTTCTCTTAGTTTCATCTTCTCTCGAAAGTCATTTATTCCACTGACCGACAGCTACAGCAGCATCCTTATGCCAAAGTCAGCATTACATCTCAGAAGATGACGGGGTTCCTCAAGAACGTACGGCGGCATTGCCTCCTTCACTCAGGATTCTGTGGCCTGCGGCGGCTGCCAATGGCTGAGTACACGTTACAATTCCTTTTGTGCTATGTACCGTACTCCTCCGACTGGCGAAAGGGACAAAATCGGGGTTGAGCCGAGAATAGACAGCTTTGGAGTTCAATGGCATCTTGATGGCGTGATCGGGGGGTGTCTGCGATGCGGGAGGGGGGTTCTTGCGGAGGAATGAGTCCAGCAGAATAGTCAAGTACAAGTAGTAGAGAAGAGGAAGAAACACAAGGCAAGAAGTATATTTGTCCCTAAGGATTCGACTAGGGGATACGATAGAGGCGATCAGTTATCCTCGGGAAATGCCCCGACTTCCCCGATAAGATAGAAATAGTGACTCCAACTGCCTGGTGGGGTAAGATGAGTCTCGCCCCTCCTTTTGGCCGCCGTGGAGGGAGATGTTCGAGTCCATCCTTGGGCGTAGAGGGTATCATCCACGGCCAATTGAGTTGATAGAACATATGGAATGTATTACAGAGTCCTGTTTATAATGGTGCCAACTTCATTCTCTTCATTGAGTCTAACATTGCAATAGAAAGTGGAAGAAGAGGGAAGCCGAGCAAATGCGGAGGAGCGGAGAGAGAAAGAAATGTACCTTCCCGATAGGGAAAGGCGTGACACCTGACTGGCGGCCGACGCGTGACCCCAACAAGGCATGACGTTGGGAGAAATCGATGCAACCAACATCGTTCCCGATCTATCTTCCACGAGGCGTGTTGGATATGACTCGTCTGCCTCGAATATAATAAGGACCGCCCCTGAAGGTTTCGGTTCCACGTTGGGATTCCCCATCTGACCCAGCCAAATCGCCCACGGGTTCTCGATCGCCGAGACGAACCACTCTGCTGTTGATCTTCAGGACCCGCGCCGAATACGGAGCGGAGCTGGATGTTTCCCTGCCGTATCATCCCACTGTAGCCTTCAACAGGCTTCCTGTGTTTCTTTGGACGTCTTATATACTTATAATGGCCCAACTAGACTGATCTGGCTTGCCTGTCTCGCTTCTAGTGCTCAATTCTTGTTGCTCGTTCATTCAGGTTGCTGCCGGTTAGCAAGCCTCTTCGGAATCTGTGGATTTCTTTCCCCTCCGCCTGTGCCATAAATACTTCCCTCGAAACAGAATGGTGGTTTTCATTGACTTCGACGACGATGCGCTTAGCCCGCATCATATCTCGGGCCCTTCCAATCCCTTCCTACATCCCTACATAGAACCCAGAAAGCCTGGGTTATCCGAACTATTACCTGTCAAACCGGACGAGCCGCATCGTGCAGCGGATGTATCCGCAGACAGTGATCGCTCCGCAGACCCGTTACACAGCATTTCTCCCATCCCTAAAGCGCCACAACAAAACCCAAATCGGAATGCTTTCTCAGCTGCTCTGAGCTGCTATCCGTATGAGACACTTTGAACCAGGCCGCTCCAGTGTCTGGTTCGGTATGGTGTGCTGACTGCGGATACAGAATTATCAAGGCTATTGCTCGCTCGGTGGATTTGAATACTCTACACGCCCTTTCACGAACATGCCGTCAATTCCACGCCAATCTGTCCCCCTATCGCCCGCAGCTGGTTAAGCAGACCTTGCGTTGTGAAAACGAGTATATCGAGACACTATCGGACATGTTGGACAGCGGGGCTTGCATTCCCGACAGCGTCAAGTCGGTTATGCGTTTGCTCAGCCAGAATGCCAGAAGTTCCGGGCGCCTGACCAGTGGCAAGATTTCCAAATGCGCCCGAGATATGGTGGCTGAATGCCGTCGATGTTCCAAGGTTGTGTGCCGGGTGAGTCCGCTCCACCAAGTTCTGTGTCGTCCCATGTGAATACTGACACCTATGCCATCTAGAATTGTGTTATCAAGCCTCCATCCAGCCACATGCTCAGACACCGCATTCGTCGTCTCTGCACCACTTGTCGTACGGCCCCGTTGAATGAGCTTATCGAGCCACCCTACGAACATGCCCATTCACACAACATCTACACACAAACACCTTCACATCCTCCTCGGTCCATCATTTCGGCCTATCAACGTACGCCTTGCTCCTGCGATGATGCTATATGGCTTTGTCATCAATGCGGACACCAAGTACGCAGCAGCGATACAACCTACCGACGGGTATGGACATGGCGCACCCGTTATAGTACCTATCTTGGCGGCCTCGGCACTGGAATCGGAGAAGGCTGTCAAGGCGTCAAGTGTGGTAGAGGAGAGGATTGCCTCGCGGCCCAAGAAATTGAGCTAGAGGTAGAATGCGAAGCGGACGAAGCCTCAGGGAGCCCCCCTGACTATGGCCGCTACTACGAACATCGTCACAGCCAGAGTCCTCCACGACACCACAACCACGCCCATGACGGCTGGGAGCATCGTGAGGAAGAAGAGCCGGGTTACTTTCGACAGGAGATCATCGGCATCGGGGGCCGCGTCAAACACAAGGCAAAAAAACGAGTCACGGTGGGTGCTTGCGTAGTAGAGCACGAAGATGAGCGTGAAACAGGCGAGTATCTTACTAGAGAGGAGCGGGGACAGCATAGAAGCTGGTGTGGATGGTGTTGGAGAGTCATCCCGGCCAGAGATGAGCTATGGAGTTAAATGACTTTACGACCGTTAGCTAGATCAAGTATATGTTAAGGGCTTAAGTAGCGAACTTGCCTGGTGGGCGAAGATAGGATATGAACGCGACTTGGTATCCTGGATATAATTGGACTTTTGGCTGGCATTCGGTGTCCTCTGGTTGGTTGAACTGAGATAGTTTCATGGCTCGATCAACATGCCTAGCAGCAGTCACTAGTCGATTATTCCTGGTATCATGAATGTTAGCATTGCCCAGGTTATTCCGAGCAGAGTATCTTTGTCTATGTTTTTGTCAATACCTCCATGTAGCATTCAGTAAAAGATTTACCAGCAATGCAGAGTCTCTCAAAAAGCCCTAATCATTCCAGTTCTTCAAACCAAGTTATCTACCCAAACATAAATTATCAGGAGCATTATCAGAGGAACTAACGGAAGGATTTTCAAGAAAATTATGAAGGAGGATATCAGAAGTATGGTGTAGAATAGATAGGTCTTGCAGCAAGAAGTGTAGTCTATACTAGTATACCAAAAGATATTCTATAAGGTAAAAGCAGCACATTGTACAAGGTTGCATAGGGAAAAACCAAAAAGGAAAAGAAAAAACATCATTGGCTCAGATAAAGCATCAAGACAAAAAAAAAGGAAAAAACCATCAAGCTGGCATAACTCAATAAGTATAACATGGCATATGGACAATCAGTGCACGTTGCGAAATAAGAAAGCCACACAGCATGGGTATATAATCAATCATAAAGATCCCAAAGGACGCCATCCAGTAGCCGGGTAGCCAAATCGCAGACCAGGGCTTTTTTTCTCCAAAACAAAGGAAATATGTGCAGATAGACAAAGGAAATGATAACAAGGATTGATAAACAGATCAATAATGGGATAAGACCACCCTTTCCTTTGGTGGCTCGTTCCCATGGCCTCATGGGCCTGGTAATGCCAACGTCAATGCATGGCGGCATTAATGTCGTATTATGTTCATTTGAACGGTGCGAGACCGGCTTAACGGTGATGCTGCGTGGTTCTCTTCTTCTCGTACAGTCGCATTATCCTCGGTCCGCACAAATTAGAAGTACCAGAGATATGCATACATATCACTGCGTGTCGTCCAAAGGGGGGCGAGTATTAGCGTATCAGTCGTATTGGAACATGGCTCATAAGCCCTAATTAGGCACCGGCCTGTTGTCGGTGGTGGATAGATGAAAATTATCACCGCCTGTTGGCTTTGTTGTTGCTCATATCGCCCATGACTTCCAGTTCATTGCGGGTGGGTAAGAGGCGGGAGGGAGGACGTGTTCCTCGTAGGTCAGGCTTGGGCTCGCTGACCAGCTGGGCGATGGATAGGGGCAGTGGATAGACTGCAATGGGAAATTAGCAATGATATTATGGTGGATATCTCTCTGGTTGACGTACCGGATGAAGGAGGCTTTCGGTGAGAGGAAGGGGCATCATGCTTAGGGACGGGAGGCTGGTGTCTGGCTGTTCCCAGCAGCGCATATTCGACTGCATGGACATTGGCGAGGAAGTCAGGTCGGGTTCCATGAGGCTCTCGGGATACGGTTCAGCGACCGTAACCGGTGTGGAGACGACAGACGAACGGGAGTGAGAGTGCACTGAAAGGGAAGTGCCATCCGAGAGAGGAGACGGGCACGTTTCCGGGGTAGCGTAGTACCGACTGTCTTCTACGGACTCGTGAATCTGATGGGGGCCTTGGTACAAAGGAGTCTGGTGTCCAGATGTAATTTCGACACTATTCCACATCAAGCCGCAGTCATTGGAGAGGTCTGGGTGGATGGCAGGCGCCACGAGGGCACCAACCGACATGGCATTGTGCGGTTGGGTGACAGCCAGGTAGGGTGTTTGAGTTGAAGGCATAGACGTGGTGGCAGGGACATAAGGCTCAGAGATGATGGGAGTCCGGCTCTGCTGGTGCCATTGGGCAGTCCTGTCCATCTGTGCTTCCAATTCGCTGGAGGGAATCGTCAGTAAAGGTGACAAGCAAGCTGTAGTGGCAGAAAGTACTTACTGTCTTTCCATGTGGCGGGCGAGAAGGTCAGGGCGGTGGAATGCCTTTTTGCAGTGGCTGTGGGTACAGCGGAATAGGGCTTCAGGGTTGTGGTTCAGCTCATGGCGTCTGTAAGATTTGGTTAGCATACCAATAAGGTAAGATTATTGCGACACAAGTGCAACGGCTTACCTTCGGTGCTCGGCTCTGGTGAAGACCTGAATTGAAGGGTCAGCTTGTTTCCAAGTCTGTGCGACAGCATCCTCGTGGTACCAACCTTGTTGCAGCCTGGGTATTCGCAAGCATGCACACGCTTTCCCTTCTTCGCTTTGCTGATGCGATGCGTAGTTGGAGTGTAGGTGATAGGGAGAGGGATCTCCGACTGAGTAGTGCTTCGACGCATTGTTCAAGTTTGTCTGTCTACTTGGTGTGTCTGATGGTGTTGTAGAAGGTATCGGATGTTGTTGTAGCAGGAGTAGGATTGGTAGTAGTAGTAGTAGTAGTAGTTGTAGTTGTTTGAGGTTTGAGTTGTTGGAGCCTGAAGGATGAAGAGGCAGGAAGAGGCTTTGATCTTATAGAGTTGGTTGTGATGGAGTGAGGAGAGAGAGGATTCAGATTGGCGAGTGAGCGATAGATATAGGATTTGGTTCCTGAAGGAGGCTATCCCCTGATCATTCTGTAACAGACCCAGAACTTGTCAGGAACGGGATAGACATGTGGTAAGTGTGGAGATTGGGGGTTAGAGTGGGAGGTGGGCTGTGATGCAGCTATACTAACAGAATTGGGGAACAGACCAGGGTGAGATCAGAACGGATGAGGCAGGGAAAATGCCTCGCATCTGCAGGCCGGATTGGGGCAGTGAGATTAAGATGGGGAAAAAAAATAAAGAAGAGGTAAAGTGACGATCTGAAACGGGCGGAATGGTGGCGGAGAGGCTGTCAGGGTGGATAGTTTGGAGGGAGCAAAGCAAAAGTGATATAGAAGCACCACTGTATGAGGCTAGACCTGGGTTGAACCACTAACTACTACTTAATTACTTAACTTGGTATTTTTTAGTCCTTCCCGAGCGATCGCCGGGGAAAGCGAAGGTGGGAAATGATTTGGAAGCATAGTAACAAAATAGTAAATAGAATAAATTGAAAAATTAAATGTATTATTATGGTAATATGAAAAATCATTAAAATAAATCGTGCAGATAATAATAATAACAATAATAATATTAAAAATAATCAGAGATAAAAATAAATACGACAATGCGATTATCGTCCAATCTCCTTCAGGCTCTGCACCAAGGGAGGGAGGGATAGGGAAAAAAATTGTACCTAAGGCAGGTAAGCGAGAGAGCCAGTGCACTGCAGTTTGATGATCAGTTTGTAGGGTGATCAGAGCAAGCAACCACTCAGGACTAGCCCTGCTACCATGGCTATGTTAGACTTAGTAGACTACTACTACTTTGACTTCCACCAGGTCAGATGGAGACGGAACCGTGAATCCGCTCTCCCCAGCGAGGCTAACCGACGCATCCAGTGTGTCTTTACAAAAAGTGGGAATCAGAAAGTGGAATGGATCCATTCCTGTCATCTCTTTCCCGATCAGGATTTTCCAATTCAATTTAAATGATCCGGTAAGGAAAGAAAATAAGATAAAATAAAATAAACAGTCAGACAAGACCAAATAGGAAGAAAAGAAAAGAGAGAAAAAGCGGCAGGGCGTTTTTGTCATACTCACTTGGCAGGAACGATGGGTTTCCCTCTTTAGGCTTGGTTAAATCCATCGTCACTATGGGGCCCGTTGGTCGAACGGGCAAATGACAGCGGCCATGGGGCCAACATCCCTTTCCCCTTCAAGCGATAACTTGACTAGCAAGTCCTGGTGGTGTTGCGGCTGAGGCGCACTGCAGATTGGAGTTGAAGAAGAACCCGCCCTGTATCGTCGAATTTTCTCGGCAGGGAAATAGGACGGGGAAAAAAAAAAAAAAAAGAAAAGAAAAAGTAACATTGAAAAATGAAAACATCTAACCTACCTTGTTCGTCTAATTCAGGGCTAACTGACTGACCGACCGAATACTCATACTACAACGGCTCCGTTTGTTGTTGGTTTTTCTACTACCAGACTCCACTTGCATAAGCTGAGCCATGGTTTTCCAGATCTCCAGTCCCGGCCGGCACGAGAAAATCAGAAAAGCGAAAGTTAGGCTTCCCGGGTAACCCAACCAGAGGCACACTTACTCGCTCACTCACGAGAAAAAAACAAATTAATTAGCGGAACCGGACTCTTCATACTCGTGCGAAGGAGGAAGGAGACGGACGGGATCACGGAGACGGATATGGAGAAAAAGAGGGGGGAAAGAAAGGGGTACCCCACTCCTGGGCAACAATACCCTGTGCACATGGCTCAGGATTCGATCCCAGTCGATCCCGTCAGCTATGAAGATACGAGTCATACACTGCATTGTGGAATGCTGATGGGTTCGGGTGATGGCCGTTGTGGTCCGGTGTGGTGTAGTAAGTAGATGTGTTGTAGCTACTCTTACTTGTTTCCCACCTATACTACTCCCTACTATACTACCCAAACAGATGGCATCATCATGAAAAGGGTTGGCAAGCTAAGACCGCCAACCACATGGCTATTCCTTCCCCTAGACCGTTCTCTTACCCCTGCTGCAGTGCTACTATTACTAGTGTTATATTAATTTGCTGACATGGTGGATGTGAGGTGCGAGTATTGTGCAGGGGTGTCTGTCTCAGTCTCTATTAGAGGCAAGGCAGTATGGGGTTTACGATAATAATGGTGGATATCGTTGATAAGGAGAAAGAACATCATGCAGAGCCTGAAAGTCGAACACCATTACTGTACGAAATTGGGGAAGTTGTTGGGTGTCTGAGCCTCATGATTGGGGGGCTCGTTTATGACATGGAGGACCCAAAGTATTCTGGCCAGGTCTGCTGCCCTCTAGTTTTCGAGCCAACTCCAGACTTAAGCAGGCTAAAGTAGTGGCAGAGACTTGACTTACCAGGATAGCCCAACAAGCAAGCCAACCCCCGGTGTCGCTCCTCAGGCTTCTCATCAAAGCCTCAAGCAACCCCCCATCCGACGGTCCACTTTGGAGACGGGCTGCCAAATTCAGGGAGCTAGCCAAGGTCCTTAGGCTAAAAAGGAAAAGGCTTATAAGATCGGGCTATTCCGTACTCCACGGGCCACACTGGCCAAAGTTCCATCCAAGCTAAACATGGACCAAGTGGGGCGACCCACCTTGACCATTTAAATTTGTCAATTAACATCCCGTACGAGAGCGATAGGGTTCAATTCAGTTGGTGGTACTGCGGCACACACCACCATACGACGGTTTCCAGGACATTTGCTTGCCCGATAGATAGCCGCCCGGGCCACTTGTCGACAAATGCAATGTCAGAATAAGAAACTCGCCCGTATCAAGATTCCAACTGCGGGAAAACCATATGCAAAGCACTCCTAATTATAACCCATCTGCAGCTTCAGTCATTCTTACTATTGGACCATATTTGCGAACTGACGCGACCCTATGTATTCGGGTGAGATCGTCCATTGTCACGGAGCGCCTTGTTCATTTCCTCAACCGCCTGGCGGGCAGCAAAGCCTCTCAACGGCGCCCCGCTAGCTTGAGATGATCTATACTGTTTCCTTAACGGGTGTGACTCCTCTCAAGCGATCCCGTCAAGTGTCCACTGTCATAGCATGGACAATCGATCGAGCCTCTTCTAGCGCTGTGGAGAGAGAGAGAGGGGGGGGGTTGCTCGTCTTATCTGTATGGGGCCAGATGGCCCTCAGGTATCTGCTGACATTTTCAATTTTTTTCTTGGCTCGATTCCAAGAAAGGTGTTGCAAATTGCAATCTACCAGTAGTCTAGTGGTGACGTGCGCGCTATTCCATGGTCTCACATAGCGCCCGGCCCTCAGTAGTGAAAAGTAGTAGGGAGAATTGTTTTATTACCCACGTGCGACGACAGGGTTGTTGCTGTATTCGGTAGACTTAAGGCTACTACTTCCGTTGGCGATCGCTAACTGTACCGGATTTTAGCCGGTCAATTCGAGTCTGCCTGCCAAGTGATTTTTCCATGGATACTGAAGGTCTGTACGGAGTACATGCGCTTACCCTGAATTCCACGTGACCAAGCATCGGTCTTGCTCGGGGGGCCTGGGGATTCTGCAGACAACGGGAGGAAGCCTTAGCACCAGCAGATGAAGATGAAGACGAAGTTTCCAGAGAAAGGAGGATGAAAGGAATAGCCGAGATAAGCACCCTACATCCTTACCATATGACCATTCTCAGGAACCAGCTTTTCAGGGGCAAACTCTTACTCACTACTCAGAAGAGACATGAACAATCAGATGTTCAGAGCAATGTTGGAAAGTGATGTTGGTCGTTAGGCCCAGTGAGCAAGCAATTCGTTGTGGTAACGATGTGATGAACGGAGCTGAGTGGTGTTGTAGATAATTAACCTGTTTGGGAAATCAGTGTGTTGTGAGACCCACTCGTGTAACAAGACGGTGTATTCCCCTTACACACAGATGTATGGGTGAGATGCTTAGGCCGTCCATAGGCTGCTATTGTGGAAGCATTCCGTAGCGTCTTCTCCGAGCAAGGGAGCCTTGGGATGATGCTACCTCAGGCCTCCTTACTGAAATCCTAACACAGTTAGATAGTCCATACTAAGTACACAAATGCCTAGCGCTGTGGAACGAAGAATGTTTTCGCTTCGTGCATCCTTTCAAGGAGGTAGAGGTCCCAACAAGCATGGGGGCCATTGTCATTCTGACCTTCACATGGGCTTCTAGCTTGTTTCAGGTCGTGGATCAAAGTGCTTCGAACTGCATTCTGCCTTACGCTTCGAGGGGCAGAAAAGTGAATAAGCATTAAGTTGTTCTAGCTCAAATTTTGAATGGTGATCTCATAACCGAGACAAACACCCCTTTTCGGGATAGAAAGCGAAACAGCAAATACAGTAAACGCCGCGAGATAGAGCCCAGCCAGCCCACGGAAGAGTAACGGGTGTAATACGAGCCTGGGTCACCTTTCTTGTCCCCATCGGAGACGAAAGTTGCGGACTCGCGGCACTCCCGTACCGTCAATGGAGTTGTGGCTGGGTCTCATTTTAGAGTAAGTGCGACTGGAATAGGCATAGAGGCTGATCCATGCCGAAATTGCCCGTCACATATTCAGCCATTCCTCTATATAATAATACCGATTATTATAGGGTGTTTAATATGGATGACAGATGGCAGGTCTGATATTAAGCCACGGATTATCCTGGAGGCCATGTGTCCGGGATCGACAACATGGTCTGATTTTCACCACACCATAGGAGAAGCTCGTTCGCCCTTGATAAGCGGGATTCTTCGGGAAACTACCCTAAGCAGGGGTGGTATACTTTCCCGACAGACACCAACTGGGTGATACAGGACAACACACTCCAACGAACTTCAACAAAAAGGGTTCTACAGCTCTATTACGTTATCAGTTCATCTCAACTTAGAATTGTACTGAATCAAAAAAGAAATAAAAGAAAAAAAAAAAAGTCATTTGAAGAGTACAAATTGAGAAACCTCACACCACTTGTGATAGGAATGAGAACAGTAAGAGCAAAACTGTGTAGCTGAAACCCCTCTGTTCTGATGAGGGGCTGCAAGGTGCCATATCGGAGAAATTTGCTAGTGGTCCATTCTAGGAGAGCGGGTCCCGTGAATATTCGTCAAGCAACTAATTGAAGTAACTAATTGAAAATGCAGGAGGCGGCTTAGCTACTGCAGACTCGATAGGAAACCTGTGCCTCAGGCCTAGACACCAGGTCCATCATGCATCGCCATGACACCAGGCCGCCCGCAGCCCACATTGGCTCTCGGGCCTTCACGTGGCGGGTCCCCCATGCTAGGATTGTGATCCCTCACAGAACGATGATGAGTCGGGCAATAGGAGCAACCGTAAGGGAGCCATACAGGGTGATTAATCTTCTCCCACCCTTTCTGACTGGGACAAGATCATGTTTGTTTATATCCACTAGGGTACCAGCCATGACAATCAGCTTGGCTTCATTGGCTCTCATTGCACCTAGGAGACTTCGCCGGAATCATCTGAGATGTTCTCTGCTGATACCTGAGACAGGTGCTCGGGGAGTAGTATTCATGACAAAAGTACTCTAGAAACAATGTCACTGAGACTGAGAGAAAGAGGTTCTGCCTAATCTACGTCGTTGGCAACACCTCTGTATGCGGCATACAAATCGATGAGACGGGTCTTGAGACAAAGATGATAGCAAGGATACGAACAGTAGCACAGAAAACGCCGTCGCTAATGACATAATCCGACCTCTCAAGCCACGAGGGAAAGCTAGGAGTCGACAACGTGGTCGAATTGTGGGGAAGGAAGAAGGAACCACTGGGTTAGCAGCCCTGGACTGACCCCCTGCCCACCGGCGGCTCGTGCTACCATGATGGCTAGAGACGGGAAACAAGGTCAATCACGACCGCTCCATAATAGGTGCTGCGCTGCACAAGGAGATGAAGTGAACAAATTGACAGTACCACAGGGTATCCACCCACAGATGTTCTATACGAACAGACCAATGATGATGCAGAACAAAGCCTCCCGTCTCTGTTATACTATTAATGTGCATGCGTACTACTTCATGATTATACTGACAACATACCCATTCTAGTAAACTACGAGATTCTTGATCAGTACTAGGCGATCAAGAGCTGTCATGTGCCAGTTGCCTCCCCCACCATCTCTTCCAAACCGACATATGAACTAGCCTGGGATGGAACATGATAATCATACTAACCGTCAGTCTAGGGATTAATTGGCCAACAGGTCATTCATGGAGCCCGCTACTAGATGCAACCCTGGATCAGAATAGTAAGCATCGAATTCCTAGGGCGTATCTTAGTGGTAAAGTACAACTTCTAGCGCAACGCCGGGCGCTGCGGTCATCTCGCGACTCGCGAGGGATGCCGTGTGAAGCATGTGCGATGCCAGACAACACTAGCCATGCAGAGTGACGATAGCTTCTGCAGTCATCATTGCGTCGGAAAAAAACTGCCCTTGTTGCTGATGATTCTGAAACGCTTCCATGACAACCCATAGGTTCACAGCTTGTTGCTTATCCATGTCTCTTGCCCGAAAGAGTTACTATACTGATCAGGTAAAGTTCGTCGGACTCTCGGCAAAAAGTGGAATCCGTCGGTGGGTTATGGCTGCCGGAGCCAGAATCTGCCCCGGTCCGGCTCGAGGACAGCAGGATCTGGATCTTCCCTGGAATGGGAGGGGGGGTTACACTGCACTCCGGTCTCCGGAGGCTAATCATCGTCCGGAACCCCTCCAGACTCCCGGAGGATGTATCTATCTACCATCGAGAGGCCATGGAAGGAGAAGGCCATCTGGAGGATTTACAGTTTGGAGCTACAGAAGTGGGAACGTGATCCCGCAGTCTAAAAAGTTCCTCTCGCGAAGCCTTAGAATTCAGGAATTTCATGAGAGGATCAACTTTGAACACAAGACTGTCGATGACATCGAGGTAGGATCTGATGATCCGCACCCCGAAGGTTTGATGAACAACTCTGTACCACGCGAGATGGTAATCACTTTCATCTATTCGAAACCTCGTACCCTCGCATAAGATAGGAGCCAGGGGGAAGGGGAAAGGGTGGCATGACAAACATGATCAGCTTACCTCATCTCGACTCGCAAACCTAAGAGAGGAGGCCTGCGGTATGCCTAGCACTTGAAACATGCACTGTGATTGCTGTGGATGTCACGACGATCACCGATGCACATTCCACTTTGGGGTTTAGGTTTTTCCTGCGCCATCATCAAAAATAACAGAGGTGATAGATCAGGTGTCGAACCCGAGCCCGAAACCAAATCAGCCTTGCCTGAGGCTGTCAAGTGAAAGTCACCACCTGCCTTAGGTAATCCCATCATCCACTTTGGACCCGCTCCAAGAAACTGGGAAATTGGGTCTTCACAACCTCCAGTATCCCCGTCGGACGATCTGAGCCCGAGCGCAGTTCCGGTCCATGGCAGGCAGTCTTAATTTGTTCAAGTCTGCCCGAAGCATAAGTCTGCATATTGTCTTGCGGATAATTCCCCTGTTGTTTACTAAATGGAGCAATCGATGACGGCTGCAGGCTTCCTACATGTACTGTGTACACTGTCGGATGGCTGAATATGGACCACGTCTTTAACCTCCACAAGACACGGTGATGTGCTAGAAACTCTTCGACCAAATTACACATCTACAACAACAAACAACAGTACCATAACTCCGCCACCTCCCTGATTCGTCAAAGTGGGGAGGTTGTCCATGATCCAATCGTGAACAGCTCACGCTATGGGTGTGTATTGTGGGCACTGGACGGCCTCTTCTCCAGTCTCGTACGGAATGCTCCCGCTGCTCCAACGCGTTATCATCAGATAAGACCGGCGCACTCACTAACATTTGAAGCGCTGCAACTAACCTCTCAGGAAGCTAGCAACAGCAAATTGGAGCACGCCGTGCACTACGCTAATCAAATCGCTTGAGCCGGTTCTCTGGGGCTAAGCTTGAGGGACCAAGGGACGGCTCCCTAGCCAGCCAAGACACTACGCACGTTGTAGCTACTATGATTCCCTTGACTAATTAGCATTAGATGAGTAGACGGCTACGCCGCGACGGAATCCCCGCCATTTTTCCGTTCTCAACAGAGATTTTAAGAGGCTGTCTATTACCCACTGCCAAGCGGTCTTTTCGAGTTCGTCTATCTAGGTGGGCTTGGTTGTCCACCCCCTCCGCTAGACTTTCATACACGAACAGACGAATCAGCCTCATCAGTTCCACCTTCAGGGTGTCGAGCACCGGAAAATCCGACCGGGCACGTATGCCGAAGCTGTCCGCGATCGTCACCACACACGCCGTATGTGTTGGCCAGAAGGACTCAGACCAGTTGGGCTTGTCAAAGGGCGGAACGGCCCTTCCGGTGTCTGTTCCACACAAGCAGCCACAGTTGCGCGAGCATCAACATCATGTCTCAATCTGTTCTTCATTGAAGATGAATAATGATCAGATTTAGTGCTTCTGATCTCTCCAGGGCGTAGCTAACTTGTTGTTTGTGTTCTTCTCCATATGTTCCATTATTTCTAAAGCTCTTTGCTGACTCCTATAACAGGCACGAACTAATTCCAAAACCGGAAAATAACGTCTCCCTGTCATAGTAGCCCCTGTCAGCATGGCCCCCTGCTAGCAAGGGCCCTAGTAGCGAATGATGACCGACGCTGAGCTCGACACGGTGTAACCTAGTCACCTGGAGAGCAGGAAAGTGTGATCGGCCGTACAACCCTTCTAGCGTTTATTGGTGAAGAAGCAGCTTCCGTGCTGCGTCGAACATTCCACACTTCAGCCTACGCTTTACGTTGGATACTACTTTGGGAGAGGTACATCTTCATGCAGCTTCTAGTTCGCAACCTACTGCAACCTAGTCTGTACTATTGTTACAGGTAACAGGGCCACGAGGTCTGTTACTTTGCGCCATGACAGGGGTGCCATGCGCTCTGAAATGGGTGATATCCACATGGCCTGATCTCACTCCTGCCACATCCGGCTTACTGCAAATTCTTATAGTATCCTAAAGTGTCAATGGGTTTGCGAGCCGATAGTTGCTAGACTAGCATTTCCTCGAGCAATCGAAAATGGCCCTTGCGTGTCAGCATGAGCCGGTCTGTCCAGGGTCCAGATATGCCTGTTCTCCCTCGGACTATCAAGGACCTTTTTGACAACCAGCTTGTGAAGAATCACCTTGCCAGACCAAGCTAGCAGTATCGCCCCTCCCACGCAGCTCTGTGCCGCCCACTTTCATCACGGGCTTAACCACGAAGGAACGAATACCCTGCTAGCGAGGGAACACTAGTCCAAATGATCTAAGAAATCCTTCAGACAATGGCTTTACCCGACGACTAATGATGTGCGCAGAACAAATTAACTGCGCCCGGATTAATATGCCGGGCACCCCGACCCGGACCCAGTCTTCTGCATGGCAGTCAGGAGTGTTTCATCCATCTACACGTGTGCTGGCTGCGGAGCCACCCCCTGGTGAGCATGACGGCGATCATGCAGTACTTCGATACGACAGGGATCGCAAGACAGCGGGGTCACTTGCCACGAGGCATCTTTGCCCCTAGAAGATTCCAGATAATCTTTTCACGCGAGAAGAAGAGCGCTGTTCGAACTAGTATGGTGATTCCGCCTTGTGTATCAATGCCGTCATTCGACAGATGCATGCCAGTATGGTTCCTAGCCCATGCACTTCTGCTGAGACATCGCTACTCCTCCACATGGACTACCGATATTCCTCCACAGTGTAACCAACTTTCATGCGGGCAACGTAGCAGGAACAGCCACCAACAGGCACCAACCAGAACCAACATGTTGGGTTGCTGTTCACCGCTGACTCGTTCACAGATCCTGCAATCGCAATTTAAGCATGACACTATCAACAGGGCAAAGATGCCAGCGGTGCAGACTAGGATGCACTAGGCAAGGCCTTTTGTCACAATTGTCTCAGTACCTCTAAACCCTACCATCTGCTTACCAAAACAATGGCAGAGTTGTGTGCATACCTTGTATGAGACGAAACAGCATACTGCAATCCTGTTACATCGAGCTGCAGGTCATGGATGAGCGGATCACAACACAGATCTTGCCCCTGACGAGCCTAATCCTGGAATTCCTTCCACTTGACCATCCTATCTCTCAAATCGACTTCCTTTCCGTCAATCACGAACCGGCCATCTCCGCGATGGTGAGCCATCTTCATTTCCCTCTTCCTTCGTTTGCCACCACCAACACGATCGTCGTCATCTGCTGGGTCTCTGCTTCCCTGACCATACTCTAGATCCATGTCTCTATTGATCCATACTCCAGTCACCTTCAGCACCCACAGATTGTACCTTGCCACCAACGCTCGGTCCTCAACCATACACTGAATGTTGGCTATAACATCCTTCCCTCCAACCAAAGGCGCCCGTGCTCTCCCTTCCTCACCCCCTTTTCTATGCCACGACCCATCTACAGCTGCAGGATCAGGAGCTGGGACCGGGTTTATTCCAAAATTCACCCACTTATTGACATCTTCCCCACTGCAGTTGCCGATATCAACGGCCTTCTCCAACATCTCCACCGCAGGAATGGCGAGCACGCATTCGCCCGTCTTCTTCAAGTTATCATAGCTCTTGTCCCACGGCCCAATGCAGGCACCGACAAGTGTTGGTCCTTCGTGCTGGATCATCATGTGGAAACCCATTGTCATTATGTTGTGCGTCTTGTTGGCTATGGAGCCGGTCGCCACAAGCAAAATGGGTCCAGGCTCCAGGAGCCGATTGACCTTGTGGATAGGATAGGCCACGAACTGGTCCAGACCATTGCGCTTATCATCGCCATCGTTGGAGCCGATTTCTATTCTCGATTTTTTCGGTGCCCGGTCCGGCTCCGACTCCGACTCGTTCAGGGGCTGCTGCAGACTGACATTGACATCCCTTTTCGTATTCATGTTGTTCCTGCGAGACATAACTGCCGTAGGCCTCTCGTCTCCTTCCTTTACAGGTATGTGCGGGTTTAAATCTAGACAAAAATGTACATACACCACTTGCGATGTATCTCGTCAGGAAGACATTCAGAGGCGATCAAGGTGAAGAGAAGTGAAGAAGTTGCTAAGTCAGAGAACATCCAGACAAAGAAGTGCACCAAACTTGCTTGCGGAACAGACTGTCTCTCCCCGCATTCCTAAGAACTCGGGGTCGCGCAATCCTGTTGGCCGGCTCTTTGTTCCACCTTTAGTGAGTGACGTACTCAACCATTGTTTCCCTTCATGTTCTCCAATGAATACTTTATCGACAATATCACAAGCAGTGCTTATGTCCACTTTGAACGTAATGAAAGCAATTCCACTTTGCCATCGAAAAGACACACTCTCCTACCTTGTAGACAGAATGCAGAAAATATACTAGTATCTACCTCCAACTTAGCCACAAACACATCATCATCTTTGATATCACTCTTACTTACCCTTTCCGCCTTGAACGTAGGTTAGATAATAGACAACCAAATCCAGCCTATTATCCTTCCACAATCAACATTCCACGTACATCCAGAAACACACACCATGATAGTTACTTTTCCCGTTATTAGTAGTATACGTGAGTTTTGTAAATAGTATGTATACTCATGCACTTCATATACATTCTAGTTAATCCACTATCATCCTTATTAGTCAGTAGTAGTATTTGATTCAATAGATGGGTGGGTGGGTAGTAGTAAAGTACGCCTCCGAACTGAAAGACTACAACTAAGTACTAAGTACTTATTTATATTCACGATCAAACTCAACTACTAGGGTGATATAAACCTCTTAGTAAATAAAAATTACTACTGGCGACTCATAGTAAGGTTAGTAGTTGCTCATACTATCAGAACCTCATAAATATGCCACCTCATTGTTGAAATAGTACTGCTGGTGCTGGCGGTTCGCATATACTAAGTAGAGAATATATATAAGTAGTATACCCCTACCAGACATCCTCCCAAAACTCACCAACTAAGAATTCATTCAATTTGGAGGAGAAAACTACTAACTAGATTATGATTATACTTAGAGTGTCTGACAAACTCACATACTATTTACATTAGCATTAGCATTACTTGCATCTAGATGCGACTTGATTTTCCCCGAACAATTTTGACTCCGAGCATACATATATGGTAAGTACTACTAGATGATGTTACCTTTGACTTACAAGGTGATTGGGTACTAGTAATATTTATTATCAGTAGTAGTATTACTAATTACTTTGGAGTGATTTGGTTTTGAATTATTGTTCTTACTATATTTTGTCGTACTAGCACTAATGCATGATGTTAAGATGGTGATTGTTACTACTAAGTTCTGTGGTAGACTAAATACTACAAGTGAAGGAGCGTTATATATATATATATAGTATACATACTATTTGTAGTAATACTTAGTGTCCGGATAGGTACAAAGTAACAAATTCAATCATATCAAATCGGATAAAACACCAATTACATGATTGGCGACAATTATATATAGTATCCTGCCCACTCTTGAAAAGAATACTGTTATTCTTCATCACGCTACCATATCTCGAGGTCTATGTGATTACAGCTACAAGATGATTGACTGATAATCAATGCATCACGCACATGGTACACATTCATCCTCACATTAACTACAGGGCTGTCCGTCACATTACTTACAATCTTCCAGTCAAGGCTACTGTATGTAGTACCCATGACAAGCACGCGCGGCCCACCGCCATAGAAACAAGCATCGCAGAAATACAACAATTGGGGGGTTCTCGGCTCAATAACAAAAAATATGGGAAAATAAATGCTGTCCACGAGGGTAATCGACTAGAATACAGCCCACTTCAAATAACGCCTTATCAAAAATGAGATCCTGAACTGATATACCTCAGCCCGACTCGTCGAGTCTTGACCTTGAGAAGCCCTTTGATGAGGTAGAGAACACCAAGTCGAAAATGTAACCATCAATGGCCAGTGACCTGGGTGTTTCTGAAGAGCCGCAAGCCTTCACCAAAGTAAAAGTCACGGTCGGCTTTCTCAACAACGCTCCTGGAGGGTTGCTATCCGCCACGAGCGGCACATACCACACATATGGAGCGAATGTGCTTTTCATAGCCAGTGGCTGAAGGGGTAATCATATCCTATCTGCAAACATGCACTGGTATTGCAAGGTCGCTGTATAGTCCAGCAGGAATAAGAAAAGGAGGGAAAGGATAGCTGTCGTGAAGGGTGAATTTATGGTGACAAGCGATGGTTGTGTAAGGTAGGAAGAGGTATCTGGCAGGACATGGCTCTATCGTTAAAAGACATGCACAGATAGGATGTTGGTCCACAAATGGCGCTGTCCATGGGAAGCTGGCGATCGCATCCCTTCTAGCGTCGATCGGGGTTAGTCACCTAGTACTGTTAGCCGGAACTCTTCATCTCTGTTCATCGTTCAGTTAAGCCCACCTGCAGAATGCGACGAGAGAAGTCCTGGTCATCATCGATGCTGCCATTGCTCTGACGGCGCTGCGCCATGAAATCACCATCGAAACGGGAATCCGACATGGAGTGCTGGGACATCGGGTTGCCATAGTTGTCCACACCAACACTACGACGGTATTGCGACTTGCGGTTCTTGAAGCGCCACAGGAAGAAGCCGGCGCCAGCAAGAGCACAGGCTCCTACTACACCTACGACAACGCCTGCTGCAATGGCAGCAGTGTTGGCACTTGAGCTCTTCTTCTGTGAAGCTTCAGTGGCACCCTCGGCAGTTGCAGATGCGCTCGCATCGGTCCCGGACGTTGCATACACGGTTTGCGTGGTGCCAGAGCTGGTGACGACATGGGCTTCTTGGGTGGATGTTGTAGACGTTTCGCTGTCGCTGCTGGAGGTACTTGTGCTCGATGCGGCATAATGGTCGACGTCGTTCTCAATGCCAGTAAGGTAGACCGAATAAGTATTGCTGCCACCACCTATATCGTTCCCGTTAGCAGATGTGCCATATGAGGCCCAAAACCAGAAAACATACAGTCCACAGAAGGCCAGCCGGCACATGCGATATTACACTTGCTGTCATCAACCTTTGCTGACGAGGCTGGTAGCAGGTTACCGCAGAGACAGTCCTGTCCGTTATGCAGGGCAAAGACTGAGTAGTTGTCCTTCAAACACAGCTTCTGACAGTATCCATCACTCTGATATGTATAGGTTCCCTGATCTTTCAGTGGCGTCGAGTCGGAGTAACAGCCATTGTATTCCTCGGTGTAGGCATATGTTACAGGCAGACTGATGGATAGGAGAAGGGCTGAGGCTGCAAGAGCCGACCGCATCGTGAATGATTTCGTGGTGTGGTACATGGTCGACGTAAGAAAGGATCCCAAGGGGTAAGGTTTGGTTGAGTTTGGCGAGAAGTGACCTCAACGATACAGCGAAGGAGGTTGATCGAAGAATAAGGGACGACCTGCGTAACCCTTTGAACCTCTCAGAGCCACTTTCAAAGTTGATAGTCCTGGTGGTCTTTTCTCACTCGTATGTCCTTGAGCTGGACGTGTCGCGACGGTCCTCCGGGGTAGTGGAAGAGTACAGATAGTTTGCAAGGGCCGACTTGGTGACGAGTGACGTAGATGGGACCAGGCCTTGACGTGGAGAACTGGTCGGGTATAGACCGACAGCAGAGGGTCAGAGGATGGTAGTAGGTGAGGATTAGAGTGAAGATAGCGATGAAAGAGTGTGGTGTCTGTCCTGGGGGTAAGCGGTCCCTGGCGGGGAAGGGCCCTTTGGACCGGTCGTTTCAAGCACCCCTTTCTGTCGGGAAGAGTTTAATGAGCGAGCCTGAACGGGCGGTTCAGGAAGGGAAATCGGCCAAGGGTCAATTCGCACCCACAGCAACAGGGGAGATTCTATTATGGCCCTTTGCGATAGATTCGAGTTATCCAGATAATAGAAGCTCGACCTGGGGGCCACAACAGTTCTGTAGAAGCGAGAGTAGTAGTATGAAGAGTTGGAAAAATGAAAATCCAATGAGAATAGGAATAAAAAAATTGCACAAAAACAATAATGTCCTAATAGAAGGCCAAAAAGAGCGACTGGGTTGAAAGCAGGAAAGAGAAAAGAGGGTCAGGGAAGGGGAAGGCGACAGAAACGATTGACAGACTCCTTCCTGGGACACAACAGGGTGACTACTGCAGAGGCGGAGGACTAGACTGGGAAGGCATTAAGCGACGCACTGACGGGTGAACTAGTACTAGTAAGTAAGTAGTACTTAGTATTACAGTCGTAGGGGGAGGTCAGAGACACCCAGAAGGAGGAGGAGAAGGGGAGAGGGGAGGGGGCCTCTGTGTGCCTGCCTGTCTGCAGCACCCAGTTAGTTAGTGAGTTAGTTAGTGAGTGACTGCTGAGTTCGCCCGCGTACTAAAGTTTCCCCTACTGGAACGGTCGAAAAAAAAAAGGGACAAACAAAGCGTGAGGGAGGAGCATCATTCCCATCCATTCCCTGCCTTCTCCCCCAATGGCAGGGCGTGAATCCAGACGCGGTTCTCTTGTTGGTGGTTCCCCGACGGGACCTGACCCTGGATGTGCAGGGCGGTAATTTACCATGTCCCGCGTACCTGTCCCTGTGATCCAATGATATTTCTTAAACTGTATTACATCAGCAGACCCGTCCAGGGGCAGGGCTCATCCCTTTCCATTCTGGGCCACACGGGCGGCACAATAACAATTGGAGCTGCTGCTGGCATGCACTAACTAATTCATCTCCCCCCCTCCCAATCCACCCGGTCATGGGGTGGGCGGGCATGGTGACTGGTGGCGGCGCTGTATATTTACCCATACAAAGAGGGGGGATGGGAAGAGAATAGGCACATGCTCAGGCGTTTTTTGGGGGATTTTTCCCCTTCGTCTCAGCTCCTCCATAACATACTTTCCTTCCTTCCGTCTGATGCCGCGGTCGGAACTCGAAAGGCATGAAATGTGCGACTCGACTCATACATAGGCACATACCAGCATCTTGTGATCTAGTTGGTGAGAATATTTTCCTTTCCCTTTCCCTTCATGTAATCTCCATATGGCTACTTCGACATTCCATGCATCTTCCCTACTGAACATCTGCCTGTCCCTTACGATCATTATTCGGCACTCCCGGCAAGCCAAATACACGTATTCAAATCAAAAACATAAAGAATTGGAAAGCGACCAAAATTGGAAGAAGCAACTCGAATTTTGCCCGGGAAGAGGTTTATAAATAGTAAAGATCCTCGGTACGACCTCGGGCACTGATGCCCTCTGTACGAGGACACAAGCCTCGCGCAAACTCACCCGTCCAAACTCAGCAAGTAACAACGCTGCTGCTGCTCGGGTGCTGGCACCAGCCATTGAATGTCGATAGAAACGTCTGCTCCACGATGGACTTTTTCAAATCCGACTGACTAATGATGAGTTGTACGAGGTTTCATTTGTACCAATCCTTGCATGACTGCATGACGGGCAGCGCGAAGTTTTCCCCTGCCCACTTGTAAGGAGATGTCCGGCCAAACCACTAGGTAATGAAATTGGTTCTGGCGTCAATAATGTATTCGGTCTCTGAATCGTTGCGTCATCCATCTCGAGACACAAAAACGTAAACCAACGACGCATCTACTAGTAGCATCAGACACAACCGTCAGTAGTGAGGAGTGTGTGTCTTCTCCCCCAAACTTTGGAGCCGACACACCTCGAAGACGAACGGCGGAGGATGTCACTGGTCAGGGGAGTCGATTAACCGCCCAAATTCCGGGGCCCATCATCGCATCGCAATTCCAACAGACGCTGAGAGCATCCAAACTAATCCTTTTTGATCCTTGATCCGCATGGTCTACCCAATGGGATGTCACAGCTTGGGGGCAGCTATGCACGCCGTCACGGACTCGAGTGGTCCATTCTGTTGGTTTAGTAAGTAAGTAGTTAGCGACCGGCGGGCCTTCTCCTCTTTCGAGTCTGAAAAAAAGAGTTCGAGTTACCTCGTGCTTGGCTTTACCGTTGAAGCAGTCAATACTCAATAGTGGGTAGCGATTTACAACGCGACACAACGCACTTATGCTCTACGTATCAGAGCTTCATTTGCCACAGCACTGTTTCGGTCGAGGGAGATCCTCTTGCATCATTACCAACCTGCGACAGGAATGGTTCCGATGGTTCAAGACGGTCGGGTCGTTTCCGGGGTGCGGTGGGCGCGCGGTAGATAGTGGGACCTTTGGAACCCCTGCAGAAGTGCAGCCTGCGCCCCGTAAAAAAAAATAAGTAGTAAGTTAGTAAGTGTTGTAAATGTAAACACCGCTTAGTAGTAATACCTACGCAAGGATTCTCCGCTCCCACCCCCCTTGACGCGTATATCTGCAAGTCTCTATGCAGGCAATTGGAATCACGGCGCTTTCTTGACGAAATTCAGCTGCTGATAAATTGTAAATGGGCTGATCCAGTTGTAGGAGGTTGATTTAATTGATTAGTTGATTGATGGGCAATGGGGAAGTGCAACTGATGACGACTCCTTCGGTCGGAAACTACTATGTTCAATAGGAAACAACCGGCGACTTCTTGCCGCCCATTCTACAGGAAAGTAATAGACACATGTCCGTTACATCGTGCATCTTGCTTTTACTTTTTACTTTCACTCCTTTGGAGCGCGCGTGGAAGGAAGATGCTTGATCTTTCGCCACCAATTACATACCCACAAGTTCGATCTTGAAGATGGGAACGAACATGCACGATCAACTGTTCCGTTTCCCGCGGCCCATAGGAGGAATTCTAGAAGTATGGAGCAGCAGCAACTATCATTCTTCACATGCCGATTAAGCTTATCGTCCCTTTTTTCTCATCATTCCAGGCCTAGTAGGAACGGGTGCCTGAAATTTAGCATTCTCCGAGGTGTTTGTCGTGTCGGGTCTGTCTATGCTGCGATGGCTGTAGTAGGTTTCCAGTTCACTGGCTTGCACTGGCAAGGCTCGACTACTAACTACTAATCGAACACCATCCACCTATGTCAGAACTCTCAAAATAGGACGGATACACCGGGAAAGGATAAAGGTAAGAGCAAGAAAAAGAAAGAAGAAAAAAAAAGCAAGCAAAACAAAGACCAATTCCCACCTACTAGTAGTAAATGACGAGGAAAAATATTGTAGAAATAGAAACTATCAACACCACAACCCCAACCATCCATCCGCAGGGCAATCAATGGAAAGATCACCGGCACTGCCGGCAATTCACCACTTAACGCTTTTCTCGGCTTCACCGGATACCACCTCCGACTACCAAGAGGTCCTACCATTTAGCCTAGAGACGGTGAGCGAGCGAGCAAGCAAGCAAGCAAATGAGTGAGTCAAAGCGACCCAGTAGAAAGAAGGCCGAACTCAAAGTGAAACCCTGACCGAGTGGTCTAGAACGTGTCACCAGGATCCACGATGTCTCTCCCGGGGTTTCCATTTTTAAAAGCTCCGTCAATGATAGACCCAATCGTGAACGCGCAAGAGACAATAGCGCAGGATTTTCTATTGCTTTGCCAAGAAAGGGAAATCTCGGCTCTAGATTCACAATAATTACCTGGGTTGGCTGAGGGAACACGCGGATGGATCATTGGGACTTGACCGGGTAACGATAGCCTCAAGGGTCTCACTTGGTTTTTGGGTATGTGTGTGTGTGTGACCATTACTGACTCCGGGGGTGAGGTAGGGTTGGTCTTGGTGACTGACTCACTTCCATTTCTTTTGGCTTCTTTTACTTTATTTTCTGCTTGGTGGGCTTGGACGAAGATATTTATGATGATCATGTATCTTGCTGATTATTGAGAGCGTAGGGAGTTCTAAGACATCTTGTTCTGTAATACTAGTAGGTCGAAGTTGGCAGGCTAGAACCTCCATAGAGGGCTTGAGTGGCCATCGGCTCCATCGTCTAGTTCCTGATCTGCTTATCAACACGAGAGGAACTAACTGTTCCCCATGATTTCGGACTCGGCGTGCATTGGTCTTCCCTCCATATCTGGGTAGGTCATGTGGTATCTTTGAGTCGATTATATGACACATCGATAATTTGAACATCGGATGTGGATGGATGATCAGTTCGTTGGGCTTCGGATTCCTACTTTGGAGCTTATTGCAAGCTGCACCGTTATATCCTCTACGAGGTTGTACTTATGTATACCCCTGCACGAATCTGAGCATATACTTGGTCTCGAAGTGCACAGCTAATGCTACAATTATTCGAACACATGATAGCCATCTCCAAAAACAATCTATAACATGATCAAAGTCGTGTCTTCCCTATCTGTTCAGAGGATCTTGATTTCCGAAACATACTCAGTATTCAAGACAAGGCAAGATGTATTGCGTAGGTGCTGCACAATGACATAATAAGGATGGCCGTACTATCAAGCTGTCTGATATTGTCTTTGCAATAACGTAAAAGCAGATAATCCCCTGTATACAATTCCTTGCTAAACATGAAGGACAAGACACTATGCAACATATGCAAATTATTTTCATTTCTGTGACAACTGCGTTATCTTCCACAGATACATCGTACCATACTTTTTTCTTTCCCTATTATCTGGTCTCCCGAGGTGTATATTGCTCGTAAAAAACATCTCTATCACATGTGGGAATCCTGATCCGGACAAGTGCCTGATTGCCCGTTCGATTCTCCCTGCATTTAAGGCTTAGGGATATGCAGCGTTTTGCTGACCATAAGGCAGCCGTGCAAAACAAACAGTAGTACCAGCGGGTGGAATTCGAACGCTGTGCCCTGGGCTACAAGGCCAAGGGGTAGATCTTCCAGCACCCAGTCTTGAGAGACACAGTAGGCCAGGAAAAAGGTAATCGACAATGTGGTCGGGATGGGGGTGCCCTCAAAGTACTTCGACTTTCCGGACTTGTCTTTCGGCAGAACAGCAACAGTCACGTTGAAGCGGGCCAATCGTGTCAGGCCGCACAGAACAAAGAAGGAGAGGAGCAGGTGGTCGAGGCTGGTGCGCATTCCGAGGGCAAAAGCTGCGGCGGCAGGTGCCATTCCGAAGGAAATCTAGAGCACAGAAAGCGAACAATGAGCGAAAGAGCCGCATAACAAGTGAACTAGGGGACCATACCAAATCGGCCAGTGAATCGAGTTCTTGTCCCATGAGTGACGACTTCTTCCTCCACCTAGCAATCCGTCCATCCATGAAGTCGAAGAACAGCCCAAAGGGCATGAATATCAGAGCAGCCCAAATTGCGCCAAAATCGCGAGGGTCACCAAGACAGTAACGCATCGAGGAGAAGACGGACATCACTGTTTATGGGCGGTTAGTTCCGGGTCCTCGGGCTCGAAGGAAGGAGAAAATTTGTGCTTGCCTCCGCAGAATCCTATAATGGGTGTCAGCGAATGGATATTTCAGGATATGAGGAAGGATCTGGTATATTACCATTGAGTTCAGTTACCAGATCAGCAAGATGCAGAGCCCTGATGTGCGTAATTGTGTAAGTGAAGTGGTCGTTTTCAAAGCAACGGACTCCCAATGGCTGACCTGATCATGCTAAAGTGACCTGTTTCGGAAGAGAGAAGCATCTTTTGCTTTTCTTGAGCTGCTACCATTTAGCTTCCCAAGCTTGAAGGATCTTGTCGCAGGGATGCAGGCTCACCACCGTCACCCGCAGGTGGAACACCGCTAGTCGTGGAAGTATTTGACGGCATGGCAGAAACTCTGCGAGACATGCTCAGGTGAATTTGACAAAAAGAAGATTCTCGCAGGACAAACAATCGAAGTAGGGGTGTAGGTTGGATATATTCGAGAACAGGTTGCGGGGATAGGAAAGAAATGATGCAATGGTACTAGGCAGCTGTCTTCAGAAGTGTTGACAGGCGCACAGATTCTACGGCACAAGCGTGGCCAGACGTCATTGCAAGGCGGTGTTGTCATGCGCCACACACGGACACTAGCCACTCTTGACCATCGCTGAAAAAGTTTACTGCGCCACATTTGCCATCCAGTCATATAGGCATTTTATGGCTTCTTCGAAGACCAGAAACAAATAATGAAAGAACAATATTCCGCATAATCGATCGTAGCAATACATGAATTGGATGGCTGAGATTCACGACAGCCTCTGCGTACAGAGAAGCAGCAAATTTTTCCTAGGATGCACAAGAATATAGAGACAAATAAATTCCTGTAAAAGCTCCCGTTTCCCATAACGCCGTAAGAAGACAGTACTACCAGGCAAGACAGAGACTGTCTACCGTCCGCGGAAGCCTCCACCGCGAGGTCCTCCTCTGCCACCACCCCTCGAGAAACCACCGCCGAAACCACCACCGCCACCACCACGGAAGCCACCACCCCGGGGACCACCACGTCCTCTGGGAGCGCCGCCGCGACCACCACGCATGGGGGCACCACGGCCACCACCACGGCCACCGCGCATGGGACCGCCTCTGGCACCACCGCCAGCTCTCTTGGGCTTGGCAGCACCTGTATTCTGGTTAGGATCAAGCACATAGGATTGTTGCGCGAAGCGAGCGATGTCATACCGGGAGCGGGCTTGGGCTTGGGAAGGAACCTAGTTTTGCAAAGTTAGACATGTTTTGGTCATAATTAATAACAGCATGCAACATACTTCTCCAAGGGAAGAAGCTTGTCGCCACCAATGTAGACCTTGTCACCAGGCTTGAAGGAGGTCGCGACAATTCCTTCCTGGGGCTTGATGGTGAAGTAGACCTGGTTGATGGGGCCCAGGACTTCATCGACCTTACCGATAGGGGTCTATTGAAAAATTGCGTTAGCGCATCGCGATTTGCGGAGAGTATCTGAGTCGAGCATACCTTGTTCTCGAGGTAGATGGGGGCGTTGAAGTAAGGAATCTTGGGGTTGATGGATTCGCAAACCATCTCGCCTTCGCAAGAATGCATAACAGTTCCCATCTCTAATTACTCCGCGTTAGTCCCAACACTCCAATCGCATTTTGGCGTATAATTACCCAGAACTTGGGCAGGGGGACCGAGAGGTTGCTGGAAACCTCCGCGACCTATCCGACGAAATTTTCGTTAGCTCATACCCAGCACTGCAATCGACCTCTAATGTTGCTCGAGCTCACCTCCACGGCCACCGAAACCGCCACGGCCTCCACGGAAAGACATGTTTAATTGCTGTTGATGCGGTCGACCTGGATCTCGGAGTCCGGAGAAGTTTTCAAATGGTGGGAAGCTCGAAACGGTAAAGTGTCGCTAGCCGCAAGGGCAGTTTTCTGTCACGTGGCTCACCGCCTTCGGTCCCTCACTGTCGATTTGCGTTTCATGATCGTCCGATTCCTTAGAGATAGTGAGTCAGACATCGTTGCTGGCCCTGCCCCTCTTCCCAGGTCTAATACTCCCAGGTCGTTCTTCAGACGCTTCTGGATACAAAATGTCTTCTGAAGGCGCAAAGGACCTTCCCGTCCGGCCGGCGGCCGACGCCAAACCTGCTGGTGAGCCACTGCCTGCCCCGCCATACGCTTCCCAAACCCCTCTTCTAACCTTCGAATGCGCCAGGTGACGGGCTCCCCGATTTCATTGTCGAACGTAACAACTTCTTCGAAGAACTCTGGCAACAATACCTCGAGGAACTCAAGAACAAGCCCCACCCCGAAATCAAGGTCAACCTCGAGCTTGGCGACGGAAACTCCATCGATGTCACCGCAAACGCCTGGGAGACCACCCCCGCACAGCTTCTGAAGAACGTGCCCAAAGAGTTGAGCGCCAATGTTGTTCTCGCGAGGGTTGGAAAGGAACTGTGGGATCTGAGCCGTCCGCTCGAGGGAGATTGCACCGTTTCTTATGTCCCCTTCGATCACCCCGAGGGTAGGGAGGTTTTCTGGCACTCTAGCGCTCACTGTCTGGGTGAGGCTTGTGAATGCGAATATGGATGTCTTCTGTCCCACGGTCCTCCCACGCCCCAGGGTTTCTTCTATGACATGGCCATGCCGGAAAAGTAAGTGTGGGTGAGATAGTGCGGAAGAGTTATACTGATAGTGAAATAGCCGCGTCGTCAGAGAGACCGATTGGCCGTTGTTGGACCGCCACGCCAACCGCATCTTCAAGGAGAAGCAGAGTTTCGATAGACTGGAGGTTACGAAGGAGAACCTCAAGAAGATGTTCGCGTACAGCAAGTACAAGCTGCACTACATCGACAAGCTCGTCACCGGAGAGAAGAGCACTGTCTACCGGTGTGGTACTTTGGTCGACCTGTGCAGAGGTCCCCATATCCAGAGCACCGGCAAGGTCAAGACCTTCAAGATCATGCAGGTGTGTACCAAGATGAACCCATACCTCGTGAATATATGGCTCACACTTCAAAGAACTCTTCCGCCTACTTCCTCGGTGACCAGTCCAACGACTCTCTGCAGCGTATCCGCGGTGTTGCTTTCCCCGATAAGAAGCAGATGTCAGAGCACCTGAAGTTCTTGGAGGAGGCTGAGAAGCGCAACCACGTTAAGCTGGGCAAGGAGCAAGAGCTGTTCTTCTTCGACGAGGTTTCTCCAGGATGCCCTTTCCTTCTCCCCAACGGTACCAAGATCTTCAACGCTCTCCAATCCCTTTTGCGCTCCGAGTACCGTAAGCGCGGCTACCAGGAGGTTCAGACCCCCAACATGTATGATGTCGGCATCTGGAAGACGTCTGGTCACTGGGCCCACTACAAGGATGACATGTTCAAGCTTGATGTCGAGAAGAGGGAGTGGGCTCTTAAGCCTATGAACTGCCCCGGTCACTTTGTGCTCTTCGGCCACCGCGAGAGAAGTTACAGAGAGCTTCCTCTGAGAATCGCGGATTTTGGTGTCCTGCACAGAAATGAGGCATCCGGAGCCCTGAGCGGTCTCACCCGTGTTCGCAAGTTCCAGCAGGATGACACTCACATCTTCTGTACCCAAGACCAGGTGAGTTTTCACGATCGGGATCGCACCCTATTGAATCATCCGAAGCTAACACTGTAAAGATCACGTCTGAAATCGAGGGTCTGTTCGACTTTCTGCAATCCATCTACGGCCTTTTCGGTTTCACCTTCAAGCTGAAGCTCTCCACCCGTCCCGAGAAGTATCTGGGTGAGCTCGAGACCTGGAACTACGCAGAGGAGCAGCTCAAGGCGGCCATGACCAAGTTCAAGGGCAATGACTGGACCATCGATGAGGGTGATGGTGCCTTCTACGGTCCGAAGATCGATATTACCATCGCCGACGCCCTCAAGCGAGAGTTCCAGTGTGCCACCATCCAGCTTGATTACCAGGCTCCCATTAACTTCAAGCTCGAGTACATGAGCAACGAGAAGGCTTCTGCTGATGCCGCTAAGGAGGGCGAGGCCAAGCCCAACGAGCCTGGTCCTGGCCGTGCTCGCCCGGTTGTCATCCACCGTGCTATCATCGGCAGTTTTGAGCGTTTCCTTGGAATTTTGATCGAGCACTTCGGTGGCAAGTGGCCTTTCTGGATCAGCCCTCGTCAGATCCTGATCGTGCCTGTCATGCCTGCTGTCAACGACTACGTTGAGGAGTTGCAGACGATTCTCCGCGGCGATAAGCTGAACGTGGACATTGACCTCAGCGGCAACACCATGCAGAAGAAGATCCGTACTGGACAGCTTCAGCAATACAACTTCATCTTCGGTAAGTGACATCTGAATCCCTGCTTTTTTTGTACCTGCGCTAATAATATGAAATAGTTGTTGGCGCTTCCGAAAAGGAGAGCCGTACGGTCAACATCCGTAACCGTGATGACCCTGCCACCCAGAAACAGGGCGTGATGATTCCTCTCGACGAGGTCCGCGAGAAGCTCCGGGCCCTGAGAAAGGAGCGGAGACTGGTCAACGCTCTCTAAGCGAAACATCATTTTTCTTGCATCTGATCGGTTGCATCGCGGGTTCTGAATTACGTGCTACGAGATCTACGTGTCAATATACCATGACTTAGATACTAGATCGCATAAGAGGCGATGTCGGCAGTGATGAGAGATTAGACCCGGAGAGTAAGACGAAGCGAGCGCTGCGTGATACTGTGTTTCTTCCACGGTGATTGAGTATAGCCTTTGGGGTAAAAGTTCACGTATATGGCGGCAGAGGATATTGTTTAGAATTGCAAGGGCGTTAGAGCTAGCTGTTGATTGTTAACTGAGCCTCAATCCATGAATTCATTCAAGTCTTAAACCTCTTAAGAAAGGGGGTAAAGTCTGGCCCCAAGGGCTGGCCGCCGATTGCGTTTCGGATGTCCGACCGTCCATTCCCGAAACGCGAGCCAGACTGCTCGGACTTAATGTACCACGTTTTACTTCTTCCCAACCCAACTTGCACTCCCTGAGGACCACATCAAGCCCTTTCTGACCGGGGTGAGGATGATCCTAGTGGTGCACACAATCTCGCGTACGGGAAGACTCAATCGCATCACCGTCATGACTGATCCATGATGGCTCCGCCGTTGCACCGTCGGTCATGGCGCCAATCAAGGGCGTCGGCACTAATCATCGCCGCGGCCTTTTTCTCCGCAGGCTTCATACTATTCTTCTACTCCAGACCTAGCTATGTTGCTCCAATTCCCGATCTCGAGTCCAGTCCTTCTCTAGCTTCTCCCGATGACACCAATCCTTGCTTTGTGGATCTCGATCTTCTCCGGCAGTACTCCAGTACCGCCACAGTACAATATGCTAGGCTCGAGATAGCCGTGACACCTACGGAAAACTTCACTGGCTATGCGGATACCCTTAGCACGCGCTTTCCGAAGTTTCGCACCGTACACTTAGACACCGAAGCCCATCGAGAGAATCTGTCGCCGGAAAAATGTACTGCCACCGTGACCATCGAGGGGCCTCAGCCCAGTGCACCCCGGGACGCATCCCATATCATATTCGGCCTTTCTACATCGATTGATCGCTTGATTGACTCCCTGGACGCGTTTGCGCATTGGGCTGCAGGAACCAATGCACGGATTTTGGTTGTCGTGGATAGTGGGGGACAAAAGAAGGAGGCTGAGAGACGGGCGCAAGCGCTAGGAATCCGGCTCACCATCGTCGAGGAAGATAATGAGCGCTTGGATCGATACTTCTATCTGGTGCAGTACTTGTACAAGCACAAGGAAAAGACCACTCAGTGGGTGGTTATGATGGATGATGATACGTTCTTCCCATCAATGACCCGGCTGGTGGATCGGTTGGCCACCTACGATGCCTCAATGCCTCAGTATGTTGGTGCTGTGACGGAGGACTTGCAGCAGATGTACAGCAGTGGCTACATGGCATATGGTGGTGCAGGGATCTTCCTATCTATTCCGCTTCTCGAGCAACTCCAGCCGTGGTTCGATGAATGCTACGTGTTCAAAGGGGGTGGTGACCACATGCTTTCGCAGTGCATCTATAAGCATACGAATACCAAGCTCTCCTGGGAGCGAGATCTTTTCCAGTTGGATCTCCGGGGAGATGCGTCAGGATTTTACGAGGCTGGGCGGGCTCAGCCTCTTTCGGTGCATCATTGGAAGTCATGGTTCCAGGCCGATATGGTGGCTCTCAGCAAGGCGTCCAGCATCTGTGGCGAGGAGTGCTTGCTCCACAGGTGGCTCCTACAAGATGAGTGGTATCTTGTCAACGGGTTCTCCGTGATCAAGTATTCGACCGTGTCAGACGATCCCTTGGCCATGGAGCAAACCTGGAATGCTAGCAAGTATACCGGTCCGAACCCATTTACCTACAGCTTGGGGCCATTACGTCGCAAGGATGAAAAGAAGATTTCTTTTCGGGTGAGAGATGTAGTGCAGGAGAAGGATCGAGTGAGACAGGTTTATGTGCATGAGGTAACACCTGAGGAGGTGGAGGTGTTGGAGGTGGTTTGGAACCATGCTGCTGCATAAGATGACTGTTTGATTAGATACACATAGACGTAGAGACACACACAGATAAATATGTGAGATACCGTATACAGATTGTTCTCTCAGAGTTGTGATGATGAAGACTATCTTTTTGGAGTGGAAGATGTAGAGTGCCTCAGGCACCAGATCATCGGAGCAGATCGCGATTGACCCGTTGAATTGAACCCACCTTGTTGTATGAAGTATTCCGGACTGTAGAGGCTCCTGCATTCGCATCCTCGCGACGCCGTTATGGAGACCAATGCTCGCTAATTAGTTGCATTGCTGCCTTCCTATGGGCTGCAACTCCTCCTGCATCTCCGACTATGAACGGTTCCCCTCAATTGCTGCAAGCTGCGCGCTTCGCAGGGTCCAATCAGAAGGCAATGTGTGTTGCCCGTCACACCTCGTCACTTTCAACGAACTCATCTCCCAGGTTCTGTTGATTTCTCCTGTCGGTGATGGGTATTTAGTTAGTCTCTCGTTTTTCTTTCTTTTTCAGCTTCAGCCTGTTGACATTCCTCGAGTCTGTCTTGCCGTGTCTCTGCTGATCCCGCAATTCCAGCTTCTCCTGTTTCAGAGTAAATCCAGACCCTCCCGGACATTGGCGGGGCGCTTGACCCAGACGACGGCCTGACAGACGCCATTCCTTGTGAATTGATTGACTGGTTCTGTACCTTCAACCCGCCGAGAGCTTGTCTGGAGAATAAGTGACAAAGAAGAAAAAAAAAAAAGGAAAAAGCAACCAAAGCCGGAGGGAATTTTCTCTGTCAGAGTCTGAGAGAGAGAGAGACGCCTAAATCCACGAGGAAAAGAAAAGAGACTCAAAAACGCACCGCCGGGCCAGCCCAGCGCCTACTTTTTTGCTACTATTAACTGACTTAACTCAGTCACTACCCCACCTGGTGCCATCCATCGGAACAACTCTCTCCCTACCTCATCGACTCTCCCCCAATCGGCCTTCATAACTTCCCCTTTACTTCCCCCCGCCTTCCCTCGTCTCGCTTCCTTTTTTCCTTTACTATCTTTCTTGTTTGTGTTCTACTTTGTACGTGTGTTTATCATGGCCGACTTGCAGGGTCGCAAGATCTTCAAGGTCTTCAACCAGGACTTTATTGTCGATGAGCGCTACAATGTCACCAAGGAGCTGGGTCAGGGCGCATACGGCATTGTTTGGTAGGTTTTGATATTCTCCGATGGAGTCACTCATCCTGGAGCATTCGCTATCGTTTCGATGGATCTCATTGTTCTAACAATATCAGCGCCGCGACAAATGCTCACACCGGTGAGGGTGTCGCCATCAAGAAGGTCACCAACGTTTTCAGCAAGAAGATCCTAGCCAAGCGCGCTCTCAGAGAGATCAAGCTGCTCCAGCACTTCAGAGGTCACCGTAACGTGCGTTATCCTTCTATCCTCCTATTCCTTCCGATGGTTGCTCCGAGCCTCGAGGCTGACGTGAAGATGGCTTAGATCACTTGTTTGTATGACATGGACATTCCCCGCCCGGACAACTTCAACGAGACGTACCTGTACGAGGGTGAGGCTTCTTTCTCTACCTACAGATTTCTCTTCCTGCTGCTAACTCTATACTTCTTTAGAATTGATGGAGTGCGATTTGGCCGCTATCATTCGCTCCGGACAACCCCTCACCGATGCCCATTTCCAATCCTTCATTTACCAAATCCTCTGCGGTCTCAAATATATCCATTCGGCCAACGTTTTGCACCGTGATTTGAAGCCCGGAAACCTTCTCGTCAACGCGGATTGCGAGCTGAAGATTTGCGATTTCGGTTTGGCCCGTGGTTTCTCCATCGACCCGGAGGAGAATGCAGGATACATGACGGAATATGTCGCCACGAGATGGTACCGTGCGCCGGAAATCATGCTGAGCTTCCAGAGCTACACGAAAGCCAGTATGTGTCCCTGATAACCCCCATTCCCCAGCGCTGTAGCTGATCAATGCCCAGTCGATGTTTGGTCCGTAGGTTGCATTCTGGCCGAGCTGCTGGGTGGCCGGCCCTTCTTCAAGGGCCGTGACTATGTCGACCAACTTAACCAGATTCTCCACTATCTGGGTACTCCTAACGAGGAGACTCTGAGCCGCATCGGCTCACCTCGTGCTCAGGAGTACGTTCGCAACTTGCCGTTCATGCCCAAGATCCCCTTCCAGCGCCTGTTCCCTAACGCCAACCCCGATGCTCTCGACCTGCTCGATCGCATGCTTGCGTTCGACCCGACGTCGCGTATCTCGGTTGAGGAGGCCCTTGAACATCCTTACTTGCACATCTGGCACGACGCCTCGGATGAGCCCACCTGCCCGACAACCTTCGACTTCCACTTTGAGGTGGTCGAGGACGTGCAGGAGATGCGCCACATGATCTACGACGAGGTAGTGCGCTTCCGGGCTCTAGTCCGGCAGCAGTCGCAGGCGCAGGCCGCCGCGCAGCAGCAGCAGATTGCCCAGCAGACCAACGTGCCCATCCCCGACAACCAACAAGGCGGATGGAAGACGGAGGAACCGAAGCCCCAGGAAGCGCTCGCCGCAGGCGGTGGCCACCACAACGATCTGGAATCGTCGCTGCAGCGGGGCATGGATGTGCAGTAGGCCACTACTAGTTCCAATCTGCCGCTGCCTTCTTCAAATACAGTGTACATGTGTTCAGTTTAAGACAATGGTGGGGAGGAGAGGCCTGACTATTTGAGACGGATTATAATCATTATCGTTCCGGAAGTCGCGGGCGTTTCCTGGACTACCTACCGCTGTTATACGATATTACCCATATCGCTATCTATCCGTTATGCTGTCCTGTGTGTTATGCCCTTACTCCCTGTCTGCTGGGATTATGAATTCTTGAAATGCAAAACGTACGCTCTTGGTCGGCTGTTGTCCTCATTGGATCTTTGGACCATTGGGTGATTGTTTTTGGTCATTATTATCCCCCGTTAAAGAAAGAACTGGTTCTACTCGCATCCGGGAAGTGTCGTTTTGGAGACATATCTTCGCCGGGAACCTGCTGCTTTGCAATTGAGCGCTGATTCGAACACGGTCTGCCTTGGTTGAATGCCTGATTCAATAGATAGAGTAGTCTGATAAATAGCATTTTGCTTCTCATCCCACGATTCTTGTCATTTCTTGCTTTCAATACTGTACCCAAATGTTCTTCACAAGCACTGCAGGTTATAAGCCAGCCATAAGCATGACCTGTCATCATGGGATTCCAGTATGCATACGGTGATAGAGCAAGCAAGCATGTTACGCAACCAATCGCAAAAATATATTACTAAACCCTACCTATACACCTATTACTTAGAAGATACTTACTGCAAAATCATCCCGCGATCTTCTACTCGGAATCCCACCCGCACCGGAAGATCCG